TGGTATCAAGGATGAAGTTTATAAGTATAACATGATTTTAGGTATTATGTTTTGAGTGTTTAATATTATGATAAGCAGGGCTAAATGAGTAAGTGAATAAATTTAACCTATAGATACAAGTTGAATGTTACCTCTAAAATAATGCATCTAAATACGAGATGAAAATATATAAAAATTCTAAGAATTAATACAATTTGATTTTAATTATAAACCATTACTTTTATCATTTGAAGCAAAAATTGATTTGAAAATAAAATATTATTCATACATTTTAAATACGGTAATTAATAATAATAAAAATATACTATTTAATCAAACGTATTAAACCTACACTGTTTAGAATAGTTTGTATTATAATAAATAATGGAATTAAATTTTGCGAAGAACATTTTATAACTACAGTCATAGAAAGGAATTTTTAAGCTTACGCAAAAGAAAATGTATAATATTTAAAGTATCTTACAAATAATATTTATTTAAATATTGTTTTAATCCTAAGTTAAATCTTTTATAAACATCCTAAGATTTTATTTGGTGGACTATGTTTTGATATTGTTTATTGTATTTTATAAATGTTTGAATTCTGTAAAATATATGGTAATTGTGTTTTTATACAATATTCATTGAAATTATAAAATTATCCAAGTACAAACACTAGATACTATAGTTACTTTGAAAAAAAGTAACTATTATAAAAGTTATTAATATCTCAGCCGTGATTCTAAATTTTATTCTTTGCGGTAGGCATTAGGTTTGTAAATACTTTGTCTGAAAAATATTTCAATAAGTCAAAAAAAAAAAATGTGCTTATAAATGTGTTTTATTCATGTCTTGCTCACGTTTTGTTAATATAATATAATATCAAGTGACTTTTCTTTAATATACTACTATTAAGTATTATGGTCAATATTTAACGGTCTCTCACCTTATATTCGACCATCGATACCGGCGTGCACGTGTGAAATACGTTTTTAAACTTCGGTGGGGAGGGGTGAAAATCGCTCTGTGGAAAGCACGCACATACTAATAAGCACTTATGTGTATATATAATATATATATATAAATATATGTTATTGACCCATAATTGCCTCGAAAATTCTTTGCAATTATGATTCATACGTTCATAGTTATTTATTTTTATTTTCTCACTGCCGATATAGACTCGGTGGCGCGGTCGGTTTCTCTTACAAATAAATAAGATTTTTGTCGTATATTTATTTATTTATTTATATGTATCTAGTGTCAAGACAAGCAGATGAAACTAACAAAAGTTATCTGTTTTATACCTTAAATATATATATATATCTATTTTTTCTCTTTCTCTCTAATATATATATACTATTCCTCTATCTAAATAGATACATAGTATATCTTTCTCTCACTTATTATGTGATCTATATTACTAAGAGATCAGTTTTTTCTAGGCTTGGTTGCAAGTGTGCTCTGCTAAAAAATAGGATCTAATGAAAATGGAGAAAAAATTAAGTAAAATTATACGAGACCTGAAGTGTGTAGTTTTATTTCGGAGACATATTTCATGGACTACTACAATGTCCAAGCGATTCAACCCTCGTCTTAAGTATGTAATAAGTACTTTAATGATATTTTGACCATAATAATAGTAGGCCATTTCGTTATACCGGTCATGAACTTTAATTTAATTGCATAAAGATAGGACAGAATGATCTTATACAATCGTGTAATAAGATGGACTGATGATAATTATGTAGTACCATAGTCTTGGCTCTTAAAACATAAAATTAATAATGAAAACAATATATTGTAATAGTTTTTGCTATAACGACATTATTATAACATCGACCGTTGTTATGTTTTAATTAAATTTAAATTTGTCTTTAAGTAAAATAAAATCTTTCTAATAATCCAAAAGTAAGATTTATTTAATATTCTTTCAATAAAGACAAATAATGTGGTAAGTACCTAAACATTTGAAACTCATCCACACCTTTACACAAAAATACAATTATTGAAAAATCATTTGTACACAAATTAGAATGTTCACAATATAATAATACGATTTTTTTTTTTCGTACTTATATCAGTCGTGAAACACTAGGTGGTTTAATTTTTTTTATTGACAAATAAATAAAACTATGTATTTTTTATTTTTATAGCATCCACCACCTCTTTATGTACATCTGTAATAAAAATAACGATGACATATTGTAACTGACTTTTTTAGCTGTGCAAAGACACATATTTATAGATCGTAACTACCATAGAACGTGATTTAAAAGAAAACGAGACAATTCACTCGGTCTAAACAATAACAGACCTCAGCAAATAACCACTTGTCATCATTTTAAATATTTATGGTTGTTTTATATATAGATCGTTATCATAAATATTGTCGATAGCATATGTGTAGTATAAGTTTTATCATCGTCTTTGTATAAATTACTAATTTTTAAAACGTCAAAAAGGTCAACAACAAAAAAATAAATATTTTTGTTCGTAGAGTGGAAGTTGAGTTAATTTAATAGTATCGAAACAACATTTGGTGTACGTTTTATCCTGTATTTTTAATTTAAATTTAAATTTTCTTTTTCTTACATCTTAAACGAACTCTCCGTTTTCATATTCTCGGTCACGGTACTACATCAAAAGTATATAATAATATATATAATGTTTGTCGCTGCAAAGAACAGCATTTAAAAAGTACTAGCGTAACCATATTATGTTGTTATAACAATAATGTATACACGTGTGACTTACTCGTATACATGTATTTTATGTGCGTATAACCTACCACGTCACTCTTAGATCAGTTCCTCTCTCAAGAATTTTTATTTCTGAACGTCCTCTACTTATACAAGAAATCTAAGATAAATGCTAGTAAATGCTACAGCAAAAGTGTTTATGACAACATTTAATCGGATACCTAACCCATTTGATATATTCAGTGTTCATCTCTCTCAATACGAGTCGTGATAATTATTATCTCAACGCTATTTAATATTAATAACTATTGTTACAATTAATACTTTACTGTTCTCCTGAAAATTATTCAATTACAGGCACCTAAATTAATATACCTACAACTTTGGAAATAATTTTACTATCTACGTGATTCGAAAATTCACCGTACATCAAAATTGCATATTGCTCCCCACCATTTATTCAAAATCGAGATTTTTAAAAATTTTAAATATACTTAACGACCATAATAAGTTAAATTATTTAAACTTTATAATTTGCAGCATTATATTGGGTGATGTAAACAGATTTTTATTAAAATGAATATTTAAAAAAGTAAATTACTTAAAATGAACCTTTTTTTATTATTTACATATATGAACGCATTTTTAAATCAAAATCCTAAACTAGTTTCTAAGTTTTCTACCAATAGCTTAATATATCATTAGGAAGTTCAAATATTCAAATAATGAAACAGGTAAAATAAGGATTAATATGTTTGACTAATAGATGGTATATAGTATAATATGTATTTATGAGGTAAAGGTAATTTATTAATTTTCAAATTGTTTATTTAAATATCAAATTAAATAATTTGAGTTTTATTTTTTTTTTTTAATTAGATTTAAGATTAACAAAAAACGCAACAAAAAAATATGAAATTAATTAAAAATCGATGTGACGCAGCCATCCGAAACGATTGAGAGTTTTGTATATTAAAAAAGGTTGTTAACAAAAACAAACCTTTTATAGTTGGCATTATCCTTTAAACCTATAATATAGCGTAATACAATATAATATATTATATACTTGTAGTTTATTATTGCATTCGCAGTTATCTCTCGCTTGTACTTATGTAAATAGAGACGCGTGTCATGTTCCTTTGTTTGTTGAACGCGATGGGTCGAATTTATATCCGATTTACTATTAGGCGACCAAATATTATTTTAAGGTCTCACGAGGATGAGTTTATTCGCCGCGTGTCTGTTTTCCTTGCGTATTATCATCGCCATCACTATTATTATACCTGCAGCGCAATAACCAGTCACGCTAAATAGCATTATAATATATTATTATTATACGATTGGTGGCGATGACGGTGAGAAGAAAATTGACAAACTTCGGTTTACGTCCGTGTATATGACATTCAATTGCATTGGGGAAATTTAATTACAAGCCAATCGCACCTGTAAATGTTTTTTTGAAGAAAAAAAATTATTTTTGACTGTATTATGATCACTGATTAGAACCTTATGAATAAACTTAAATCCTTAAAACTCCTAAAAACTATTAATAACTAAACCCCTTAGACAAATACAACCCAAATGATTTTTTTTCTAGAACACCCGAATTAATCAAAATCTGAATATGTTTTTCTTTATATGTATTAATTATTAAGTAGATGAAAATATGCAATCTTATGATATCTAAAAAATATATTCCTGTGCCAAGGATTTTTGTTCATGATTAATTAAACCACTTATTAATTGATCTTATGCTTTAACCTAAATTCTATATATCTATTATATTTACCTATGTAATAATAATGATTATGAATACCCAAATATTTGTTTACATTTTTTATTCCATTACTTAAAAATTCAAAACTCATAATTTAATAAGAGATTTGGGTGCAAAGTCCTGGTTACGATTATATATTGTTCTAAAATTTTCAATTAAAAAAAAAAAACAGGTTTCTTGTTAAATTTGTATTAAAACTTATAAAAAATAATTTTCAAAATCAGAGACTAATGTGTCCTTTATAACGTCTTCTCATGTTTCAATTCAAAAATATTGATAAGAATATAACAATTTCACAAGGCATTGGGACATATTTTTTTATACTAAAAACGAGTAGGCTCTGACATCTTTAAGCTCACTACACAAGCGTAGGCTAACAAGCATTACACCCATCGTTTTGCTAAAAAAAAAACATATTCGTCTTCCCTTATTTTGTGAACATAGCATTTTCATATACTTTCCGCTCTCTCTCCAGTAATAATTAGACGCCGCTGAAAAATACAAAATATTTTACGTATATTAATATTTTTTCTTTTCCGCAGTGGCATACCTAAACATGGGACAGTTATTGGCTACGATGGGTCGGTGTGAAGAAGCGGAATCTGTGCTGAAGCTTTGCATTTCACTGGATGGTTCTTATTCCAAGGACCCGATGAACCACGAAACCAGTAGGGTGTCAGCACTAGTCACATTGGGCAAACTGCATGCTGACCGGGGCAGGCATTTGGACGCGGTGCAGGCCTACAAGCATGCAGTCACCATTTTACCACCGTACTACAACTCTCGGGTAAGCATTATTGAATATTTATTTTATTAAAACCGTCATTGTGATAATTGGACAATAAAACTATATATAAACAAGCCCGGTGCTACAAAAGTATTGGTGCCTCAAACAAAACAATGTATTTTCGCCTTTTTTTCCAAATGATTAATTACCATTATTTATTAGATACAAAATATTTGTAAAATAAAATAAAATTATAAGGACTCAAATTATATGATAATACTGACAATACTTTAGAAGTGATAAATTTTTTATAATTTTATTGTATTTAATGAATCGAAAAAATTCAAAAATACTTAAATATCATTAAAACGTTTCTTCTATAGGCTATAGCAGGCGTTCTGAATGTAGATCCTAATTCCTTACTTCTAACGCTAATTCCGCATAAAAAAGTACGATACTCAAGTATTATATTACTATGCTAAGACAATGTCTTCTAAGACACTGTGTACATCTTTTACACGTTTATACGTACAAATATTGCTCGTTTCGAACACGATGAGCGTATCAATAGTATAAAATTAGCAACTCCAGACTTCATTATCTGAAAATGTTGACCGTATTAGACAAAGCACTCATCCTGAACAATGTCTTAAAATAAGGTCATATCAAATGTGACAAAAGAAAAACGCGCTTAAAAAAATCACATGATTGCAGTAGTGATCAGGACTTCAGAAAACTACTCGTATATCATGTCGTCATACTTCATGTTTCGGCAACGATAGCTAAATATAATGCGTACGATAAAATAAAAGATACGATATAAAATGAGGACCACGTAAAATGTATCGAGAACAACGACCACGAACAGTCCAGAAGACAACCTTATTGAATATTCCAAGTACGTAAAAATAATATGACAGAAGTGATTGAAAAGAAATGTATGTTATAGTATAATTATAAGTGAACGAGGTAAAAACACTAAAAAATTAACACGTAACTCAGCTAATCTTGGTTTGAATGTTTTGGTGGTTTTTTTATCGCATTATTTATTTATTCAACGTACCTTTTTCGCTTTTCGCCCTTCGTGTTAGCGTTAATAATTAACACAATGTTGTTATAGTCGACGTCGTCATCGTTTTCTGACCCTTTGTTTTCACCCTTGTTCAGTGGTAGGTGTTTTGTATTGTTTTTTGTCGTCCGTTATGATTTCCCGCCATCAAACAGTCTGGTACAACAAAACGCACACTAGGCGTACTCCAGTCGCCTCTATACTCACAATACAATAAATGCGAATCGAGTTTCGTGCACTAATTCATATCTATTATATAACTTTGATCGCTTAACATCTATAAATTAAATGAGTAGTCAGACAACATTTTGATTGTCTTTTTTTTTACTTAAATACGGACAATCGAATAAATATATATTTTGTAAAAAAAAGCAAATGAAAATTACATACACCGATGGTTTTCACCCTCATTGAACAACGCATTTAAACCTCTCAAGTGTTGAAGTGTAATGTGCATGCGTGATATACATACAAAGCTCATGTTATATTAATACGCTTAATCGTATGGCATTTGATTTGGGTCTTAAATTTGATGATATAATATTATCTCAAAATACATGTGTTTTTTTTTTTTTTTTTTTTGTGTAGCATAATAATAATAGTGACACGGCGTCCTGAATAGCCAATTTTTCTAACACAACTTACCATAGTGTCTATTTATGGTATCATGAATTAAATTTTTTGTTTTTTTATTCTTTTGTTTTTGGACAAGAAATAAATTAACCTTTTTTTATTTAGTTAAGAATAGAAGCATAGCATAAATAGGCTTGTATGTATAAAAAAAATTAATACATTTAATAGGATTTAGTTTTGTAATAAACTAATAAGGCACAGCAGCCCCGACTAGGCTTTATCCTATGTCAGAGATTATTTAGTTAAGTTTAAACGTAATAAGCTTGCACTATTATCACAAGTAGATTAAAGCAATAATTTTTTTGGAAATTATAAAAATGATTTTAAAATCGTACAGCTTCCTACGTAGATAAATTCTTTAAAGAAATAATTATTGTATGTTACGCCTAATTAATAATTAAACAGTTGAATATAAACTATGTTTTTGAATTTTATGTAGGTATAGTATGGTTTTTGAAAATCATTTAATGAAATCTATTTACGTCTGACACTTTTTACACGGTTTCACATAATTATAAAGACATTGTAAAATACACTATAAAAGGAATATATATGAAGACATTATAAATTGTTTAATCAATGCATAAATTAGTATTATATAATCAGTGACAAAGACAACCAACAACAAAGTTTTCCGAATTTAAGTCAATCTAAATTCAAAATATAGTTGCGTTAACTTATATCAAACTTCAAAGTCCAAAACACCTAACCATGTCAAAAAGAACAATAGTAATATCATGTACCTAATATATTCTAACTTTACGATGGACCGGACAAAACTTTTCAGAAAATCTCAATAGTTATTAATTTATTAATAATCCTAAGATAGGAACGCAATATTTTAATTGCCAACCAAAACTGATAAAAAGCAAATGTCAATCATTTAGGTAAAATTTAATTAAAATATATTTAAAAGGAGATAAAAAAACATTTTAAATTAAATAAATAATCTTTCGTACAAAATTCTATCAAATATTTGTGATATATTTAATTCATCACGAATATAATATAATCTAGAATGAAATCCACTTTTTTTTTTAGTTATTTATACGATAAAAATTCTAAAATAATTATGTTATGTTGAATATATGTAATTTTAATAGATTTTTAAATAAAATAGTGGAAAATGTAATACTCAAAAAGCCAATATCACCGGTCGATAGGCATACACATTGTTTATTTAATAAATTAATTAAATACCATATAAAGCTCACTGGATGAGTATTTTAATTAATGAATCTTATCAATTGTCGACTATAAACAAAGTTAATATTGAAAATATATATGTATATACTGAATTCACTAATATATTACACCCTGTATAAATTAGACGGTATAGGAGGTCAGTGAAGATAATGTTATTATAGAGGTACATATTTTGGATTATAAAGATAAAGGTGTCTATGTACAACAATTAAATTGGCCACAAACAATTATATTATCGCTGTCATATTGTTTAATATAATATTTTTATATATTATCTCTGCAATACTTTAACGTATCGTGTGCATAACGTAAAAATTTTAGATCAAAAATTAATCATAAAGAACAGTTTTCAAGATCATTTAAAGGTTCTTTAGAGCCAGTCATAGAAATTATGCAATGAATAATATTTTTTTCATTAAATATTTTATTTCATAAATAGTACACAATATACGAAAATTATTTACCAAAATTATTATGTGTATAATGTAATATTATTCAGGATATTGTGAGTTTTTGTTATCAATAACAATCGTCGCATGTCAAGTAAAAATTATTTACCCTAAGGCCTAAATACATCTTGTTGGATTTAATTCCATTAAAAAAAAAAAAAAAATTGAATTAATAATTATAATGAATGTTTGAATTTATAAAAATAAATTTACGAAACAGGTGAATTACACATTTACACATTTTAAATAATATTATTCACCACTTTCAACATCATTATCTTATTTTTTTACTCGTAGGTACAAATATCCCAAGTTTTTTTCACCAATTCCGAAACGAACCATTTTATTGGAGAATCATAAATATTCCTTAGACGATAAATATTCTGTGATAAAATGTCATTTTTATGTGTACGTGTTTTATTTTCGTTTGCAGGTACTGTTCAGTTTATATGGTGATGCGTTGGCGCAACTTAATAGACACAAAGAAGCCGAAATGTGGCACAAGGCGGCACTAGAAGTCGGGCCTGATCATGTTCCGGCACACTTGAGTTATGGGAAATGGCTCGCAAAAAATGTAAGTTAAGGATGGTCACTATATTATTACGCATGAAATGCAGTACCATAATAATAAATAAGTACAGTCCCATCATATAATGTGTGTAATTTTTTTTATCTCAATGACGCAATGATATTATTTAAAATTTAAAACTTTTAATAAGCAATTAGTTTATATTATAATTTTTATAGGATGATAATAATTTGTAAATTTAATTTAATCACCATATTATTTTAAAAATGTGAAATGTGTTGCAAAGTAACAAAAAAAAAACTTGATAAGAATAAATATCAAATGTTAAGAACGTAACGCCGAATCGAACCATAGAAATCGTTTTCAGGTAATTTTATGTCATCATAATATATTATAGTGATATACCAATGATAATGCAAAAATCATAAGTTGCTCTATTAAACAGTCGTATAAAACAATTTTGGTGAGAACGAGGCTGAATGGTATTATAATATTTGACTACTTTCAATAGTAATAATATCAAAACGTAATCTACATGGTTGTATGATGTTTAATATGTGTAATTGTATTTACAGAGGTATACAATTTAATGACAAATGTGTAACGTAGACATGTAGTAATCACATTTGCGATTTTCGTTGATCATAATATAAATATAATATGATTGAATAGTTGCAGTTCGCAGACATACGGCTAGATAAAAAATAATCTTCTGGTCAGTTGTGTAATGTTTTTGTATAAAAAAAAAAAAAAAATGATATTTATAATATAACTATACAATTTGTCATTTTATAAAAAGATAATATTTATTAAATTTTATTGTATTCCTATCTTATTAAACGATTTATAGTGCTTTGGATACTAGTTATTACGTGTAAACTTCTCTCCCACACACACACAAACACACACACACTACGAAGTAATAATATAATACTACAAATGATAACCAATTATCGGTTAAATTATGATGGAGTATAATTCGTATTTTTGTTTATTTTTTTTTTAATGGTTTTCTTAACCGTGATTTGATGAATTACTTTTTTTAAAGTTACTTTTAACTTAATTAGTTGAAATTTGTTCCATTTTATACAGATACTGATCATTTTTTTTTAATTTTGTAATGCTGTCGTGATTTTCTTAATATAAACTCCAATGATTAAAAATATATTTTGTTTTATGCGAATTATTTGTTTAAAAAAAAAAAAAAAAAAAAATGAACTTTACTATTAGTATGTCAGAATACAAAATAATAGACTTATATAGCCTTGTTCTTACCTATACATTATAACGTTTTATCAGAGACTGCTATTTTAGGTACGTATAATTTTTATAATCATTATAATTATTATTTACTGATTTCAATCGTACATTTTTGTGATTTTGAAAAATAAGTTTTTACACAGAAGTTTAAAGTATTTTTCTGTGTAAATAATTTTTTTCTTGTGCGCATTTTTTTCTTTTTAATGACAGTACATAATTGTATTTTCGTGTTTAGAAATAAAACACATTTCTACGCAATACTTCAAAATATACTGCAGCGTTAAACGAATAAAAAAATTTTTCATTTTTTTTTTTTTTTTTTTTTTGTTTGTTTTAACTGAAAGTTTAAAGAAAGTTTAGACGAACAAAGTTATGTCACTCCTATATTTTAAAAACATTTAATTTGTTACTTGTGAACGGTTATATTATAAAATATTGCATTGGTTTATTTTATACATCGCGATGTTAAGAAAATTATTTTGCATCCGAATATGAAATTAAAATCTTTATAAATCATCATTGGCATCCATATTAAATCAATCGATATCACGAACAATTTACCAACGAGATTTGAATGTAATTAGTCTAATAGATCGTCATGTACCTATACAGTAATGTAGTTATAATATATTGCCAACAGTTTGTTGCATCAAAATACGAGTATATTATGCTAAAATCTTATTATTTATAACCACATTGTTACACGAATTTAAAATAAAGATCGTTGTACGCAAGTGCAACCTCGGTGTTGACATTTTTTTTTACATATATGTCCGAACCTCATTACACATACCCCATAAAATATATTATAGGACGTCCGTTTCCGTTGCGTGTATGGGCGTATGCGCACAGTAAATATATTAAAACAAATAAAACGCTGTAGGACAACGATAACACGTCTTGACATTATGCAACGCAGTCGTTTCGTTTACACGTGTATCCTATAATTCATTTGTACACATTACACATAATATATTATTATACGATTCGTAGGTATACATATTATATAAAGTGCATAACCCACTTCTGTCATAAGAACGTTATTGCATTACTACAGGTATCACCGCAACAATACTATTTATGACATATATTACTCGAAGTGATCAATTGTTAAAATACGAGTATGTTTGATGGTTTGTCCTTTTTTTTAGCAAACTCTAGCGGATGTCATCGTGAGAAGATAAAAACTCGTTTTGATCATTTATTATTTTTTACAATAATTGGTTTTTTAAAAATAAATATTTTATCATAAATAATATTATTATAGTTATTATAATTTAGTATATAGGTATATATTGTATAAACATCATTAATATTCTAAATTATTTTATTGAACTTTATAATATTTCATTAGCATTTAAATTATAAACTTAACATTACCATTGGAACGTAATAATACTTATAAAGAAAGTTTAAACATAAATTCAAAATTATGTTTTAAAAATTGCTTGTATTTCAATTGGTTACATAAAAAAAAAAAAAAAAACATAATTATTATAATCGTTATAGGCTATAGCTCATAAGCACAAAATATGACCCAAACGCAACCCAAAAGCACAAAAATAAATATTTTATAAGCGCAAGAAAAATACTTTTTTTAAAAACTATAAGCTCAAATTAATTTTACAAAAATTAAGTGTATTTTATAAGTTAGAGTTAAGTTTATACTTAAATGATTATCAAACTTCATCGTAATTCGTTACGATAAAATACGATACGATAATACTAAACTTTTACTGAACTCGATCGTTGTTGATGTATTTTTGAATTATAAAAATACGTTATATTTAATTAATATGAATAATTTAATTTAATAAATAATAATTTTAAAATGAAACTTACAGTGTAACGGGTACAATATTTATTTTTACCCTTTTATCCCTCTACTAAGGTACAAAAACGCAAAATGAATTTGTGGTTTCCATGTCATTATATTGTGTCACTATTATAATTATTTATATCGAATAACACACAGCTGCCACACTAAATTTGACTAACCGTTTGTGACTTATATTATTGTCGATATAATGATTTTTTTTAATATTTTTATTAATTTCTAAATAATCTAAATCACAGAATGATTGTACGTGTTATTTATCAAAAACGATATTTAAATCTCACTATATTAAGTAATATTTTTTATTACAGAGTGTTTAGTTCTAAGTCATATATAGTAGGTATCATGTTTATTACTGGGAACTATGATATAATTTAGGATATCATTTTGTTTCTTAGGAAATATCTAAAATACATTATTAAGTTGTCAGTTAATTACTATAAAGATTAATAAATTAATTAGTATATACTGGTTTTGTATTGATAAAATAGGTGACGCAAAATAAAGTACAATTCATAGAATGAAAATTAATTTAAATGATGATTAATTATTTATCCCCATTAGATATACCACCTATTTATATTTTGAGAAATTTTGGTATAATTTCTTTAAATTATTACGCGTTGTCGTAAAAATCTAACGAATGATATTAATTTATAAATATAACGAGTAATTGCATAATTTTCTAGTCATTATTGACAATATCTTATAACCCTAATTTTTGCTAACATACACATGTATTACAAATACATTTGTAATATATTATTTACATTAAACTAACCATCAACAATTAAATAGTTTTTTAGCTCAAATAGTTCTTTTAAATTCTATCAGTGTTACATCAGACTCAGTAACTCATTCATAATATTATGATATATTTTTATGAGTCGGATAACGAACCTTAATAGACCGTAAGCCCAGTCACCAAAAATACTTCGCACGTATCAAAACCTGTCGACTGACCTTTGCGTATTGTGTGTATTACCACTCAAGGAAGTAGACCGGATCGCAGAGCAACACTACTAAATGTTATTGTGTAGTAGGAGCATATAATTATATGTATGTAAAATAGAACCATGGGTAATTTAGATTATAAATGGTAACAAAGCTTTTTGGTATGTAGCTTCTAAATTGCTAGTACAGCTAATTTAATACAATTAATACTGTATAAAACAATTATTCACAACAATACATTAAAAAATTCTAAAATACAAATAATCAAAAATAAATGAATAAAAAAAAAAATTAACTTAGTCGTTACAAAAATATTGATATTGCATATAAATACTTATAACTAATAATTAATAAAAATAAATAATAAAAACTATTTATAAATATTGTAAAATATTTTACGGTGCACTGCTAGCCAGCTGTTACGAATACTATATACTATTATATAAAAATAAAAACTCATAATCTATCAACAAAAACTTTCAATATCAAATAATAAAAAAATAAAATTATATAGTATAAATATGATAAATTAAGGTAGCGATTAATACCGATCGACACGTGAAAATAAATAAAAATATAGAAGACGATTCATACACTTCCAATATTTAATAATAAAATAATTAAAACCAAATTATGATGATTCGCGTACACAAAAAATAAAAAATTATAAGATGATTTGCACAAAATCTCAAAACTTAGTTTTTGACTTTTGTGTCTAATTACTTAAAAGTCATACGCACATGCGCATTGAAGAACCAAAACGATACTAACACAAAATTATAATTAACAATGCACCGATAATAATTTATACAAAATACAATTCATGAATACATATAATATTAATATGTGTTGTGTAACATGTGTGTGTGTGAGATTTGGCTGATCGACGACAAACATAGATCGTTATAATACATATATAATTATATAATAATAATAATGCGTAACGCGTACTGTAAAAATCAATGAAGTATAACATTAAAACGGAATAATAGTGTCAATGTTTCAAAATTCTCAATGTATACGTCCTGTAGCGATTAATTTTAGACTGAAATTTGTGTCAAATCGATTTAATAATATTATCAAATCTAATAATGAAGTTTTGTCATCATAGTATGTCGGAGATTTCGATATTATACAGTTATAGAATTTACGTTCGTTAAATTTGATAATATGTGACTGCTGCAAATGTAGTCTATACTCTATTGTAACTGAGAAATTAATGAAAGTTTCTACTGTACAAATATTTTTGTTTATATGTCCATACATATCCAACTATTATTAAAACTTATACAATCATTATATACTATTCATTTTTGCTTTAAAATCGTTCAAATTTTAAGATTTTTACACAATTTAACCCTATAAATTGGCTATACCAAATTTTCAGATTATGATGAAACCAAAGTCAAATTAAATTTTTACTTTTAATTATTTTAAACTCCAGTTATTCGAAATTTAGCTAATAATATTGTTAAGAATTAATGCTCTTGTGATACATAAATGCCAAGACGTGTTACGTATCAAGTTGTAACAATTATAAATATAAATATGTTACATGACACTTATATATGCATATGAACTCTACTTTATGTATGATTAACTGCTGTCTGCTAACCAATACATTAATATTAACACACATATACACACATATATATAATTGTAAGGCCTATGGCCAACACTCACGATGTATTAGGAAGTCAGTTTATACTAGACCATCGACACAGCCATTTATTATATTAAGATTACACCATATGTGAATATTATATTATAATATTGTAACAATTATAGATTAATTGTGACTGTCATTGAGTCCGTGGTTATTTAAATATATTTACGATCCTTAAATTCATCTCTACCCACAGCAACGGTTAAATATATCCATAGGGTCCAACGATTCTCCGTAGTTATCATTTATTTAACTGGTCGTTCCCCCGACCACGTTACAAAGTATAATATTGCACTGCAATAGATATATTCAATACTTATATAATTTAATGCTTATTCTCTGTACCATAGTACTATTACTATAGATATCATTAAGTATTATGATTATTACTATAAATCTAAGTTATACACATCAACTTATGGATATATTATACTGATAATGTAGACTTTAGTATATTATTAAGTTACGAATACACTTAGTTTTTTTGTATTATACCATTATATTTATTAATATCGGCTATGCACACAACTTGTTTATCCACAAGTCAATATAGAATTAAAACCACTACTCCTAATGGCATCTTATATATTTATAAAATGTACATACATACAATTGATAATAAACAATATATATATATATATATATAAATACGCCATAGTATTATATATGTAATGTATACCTGTCTATAATACACCATGTTTATATTCGGACTTTTGTGTTTGGATTTGCAGTTGTCTATACCAAAGTTTGTTTGTCAAATCGTATACCGGCGGGAGTTTATATTTTCATCTCCGAGTGCAAATAGTAATAATAATAATAAAAAAATAAACTAAAAAGGAAATAACAGAAAAAAAAATGTTTTCCTTTTCAACTTACGCTGTGACCTAGTTTTTGATGATGATTAAAAATCTATTGTTCTTTTGTTTGTCTTTCCGGTTTGAGAACTTAGTTGTTTTCAATAGCTGTTTTCAACGCAATGACGATTAAACGTTAAAAAAAAAATCAGTAGATTAAAAAATAAAAAAACTTGATTTGTTAATCTGTCAATGCTCGTGAATTCAACAAACGGAAATAATTCGAACTGTATTCACCAATGCGTTACCATAATTGAAACATCGATTGGATTGTATACCTACAGATACACAGTTATACAATCGTCATCATTTTAAAATAAATAGATTATGTTTGATTCGTTTGATATTGTTTCACACTGATATTTATGCAACAAACTTTCGTTTTTATAAATAAAATCCAAGATTTAAAAAACAAAAATAAAAATACGATAAATAAACATTATTTGATTCACAATATTAAGAAATACGTAACGTCAACCGTGTAGAATCATCGAGTCTTGAAACACATTAAGTTATCCTCTGTATAATGTGTTATGTGGACGTAAGTTTATAAACCTTAAGTTAATTAAATAGTATTTGGGGGATCGTAGGTATCAAAGAATAAAAACTTCCATCATTGAATGTAAAATACATCAAATACTAGTAATAATTTAAGCCAACGAAAATCAATTTGTGAAAAGTTCCTTCGTATAAAATTCAACTACGTGTGCATTAAAATAGTACACAAAAAACATTTTTAGAATAACTAAGCGTATCCGATGTACTTCTTGTTCATTATATTTATCAAGCTACTTTAACTGTTTACATATCTATTACAAAATTAAAATATATATTTTTATTTTATAAGCCCTTTTAAAAAATTAGATTTAAAATTTTGTAAAGAATTTAGAATAAAAATTTAATATTGAAGTGAAAACATTAAAACATCTGCTTCTTTTACATACATCCATTTCTCTAGTTTGCTTATAAAACTTCTCCAAAATACAAATAACAATAATTAACCTACTTAGAGTAGCACATACCATATTCATCGACCGGTACTTTATGTAAAGGGAAAAACCTCCATTTACACCACCTGTGGCGTACAAGTGTACAACTAACAGCCAAACACTTATTAACCAAACGCGTAATATCTAACAAGAACGAGTAGAAACTCTAACCACCTCCAAGTAATTATAAGTCTGGACCTAACTACAATAATTAAGCTATTCAAATATCTCAAACTTTCTAATATATACCATAAAATGTAAAACAATAATATAACTTAGGTACGTATCATATTAGTTTAAAATTTAAATGTAACACTGTATTTTTTTAATCTTCAATCATCAGTATATTTAATAAAAATAAAAATATGGAAAAGATAGTATATAATAAAATATATTTATTTATTTATGTATTATGTATAATTATATCTCAAAAACACTTTGTTTTCTTAACCTTCTAGATTGTTTTTTTTTTATTGCTTTTGTTCACCGTATGATTTACATAACAAATGTATTTCAGAGAACGCGTATTCACGAAGCAGAAAATTGGTTTCTACGGGCAAAAAAATTGGCTCCCGGTGACGCGTCTGTGTACAAACATTTCGGTTGGTATATATTTTATAAAATAAATTTAAAAATAATAACATTGTATCATCTTCTGAAAAGCAATTGAAAAAACAGTTAATAGTACTTAAATATATAAATATTTGTTACCGGTAAATCTCTGTTTTCACAGGAGTTTTTCTACTGGAACAAGAACGGTACTCTGAAGCCGCATCGCAGCTAGTAGAAGCCGTCGCGCTTGAACCCGAAGACTATGACTTGATTGTTACAGCAGCCACTGCACTCAGACAGGCGAGCGTGTCACTCAAGGCTGAGGAAATGTACAGAAAAGCAGCCATACTCAGGCCACAAGTATGATGATCTATAGATAATATTTGTACATTTTAGTCAAATCGATATAAACTGAAAAATCTGAAATGTATCTATTATGAGACGAAGATATAACTGATCTCTTAGAATATTTGTACCTAAATGTTTAAATTAACCACGAGAACTTTAGAGTACACTATTAAAAATGATTAGATTTTTAATATTTATATCTTTTCTGATAAAAAACGAATCTAGTTAAGGCAGCTAAAAAGAAAAATTCTTAATACTTTAAATCGATTTTCTAATTTTATCGTAATTTAAAAATAAATAGCAGTAAATAACTGAAACACTCACTAAATGGAGCTACTTATAGACAGTCTTGATATTTTTTTTGTTCTATAAATTTCGATAAAATTTAATCCAAAATTCCAAATAAATTGTTAAAACTAAAATTTGAAAAAAATAAGCGTGTAAACGTATAATTTTCAAGTTTAAATGTTAAAAAAATTCGTTAATTTTTTTGAAATTAAAATGAATAAAATATTTATAGCTTAGGTTAAATATTTAACACAAGACGCATTTTAACTAGTTCTTTCTAAAACCAAAAATTCTGATAAAAAGTAAACATACATTTTTTATAAGGTATATAAATTATACTTGATATTATTATTACTTTTTTTTTTTTGGTTCTTAAAAAAAGTGACAACAATCATTCATTTTATTTTCTAAAAGAATTTAAATATTATTAATATCATACGTGATAATAATTTTCTTAAATAAAAATATTAACGTATAGCTTAAGTAGGTATAAAAAGTTTTTAAGTTATCAAAAAAAATGGAGTATTAAAAAAATGAATATTTCTCATTATTCGCGCAGTCGAAGGTAATTTTTTATGATTTATCATATAAATATATTTATTCGAGATACTATAATCTGTTCGCTTTATCCTTTACTGCATCGTAATAAGTTAAAATTTAAATCGATTTTTATTATTCACTGATTAAATATCTAACATAATAACTTGGCTGTAATAGCCGTAAACCCATTTAGTGCATTAATGACTAGATTCTATCAATATATATTTATATTTATATTTTACATATAATATTTTAAATATTATTTAATTCTTCTATTGTCATTTTTATTACTTAAAACTAAATGTGACCGGGCTAGGAATGTGGGAATAGTGATCGATCGAAATTTGAAAAAAAGAACTAAAACGTTCTAAAGTGAAACATATTGTTACACTACACTACGTATACACTTAAGAAAGGTACATAATTACATAAAGTACCTACATTAAAATTCAATGTCGTAAATAAGTTTTTTGGTAATACTTTTATAAAACTTGCATATGGATACAGATATAAAATAAAATCAATGTACCGCGTTTCAGATGGAAATTCTATTTATAGAGTTTCATGAGTTCACATTTTTGTGTTGTGTAAGCATATTCTTGGCGTCTGTTTATGTATACGTGATTTGGAACGTAGTTGAAATGAAAATCTGTACGATAAATAAATCATCATGAGGGTTGGTTTGTTTAGTATTATGTAATCACATCTGTGTACAGGACGCTCGCTTATGGAGCATATAATAATATTTTTTTGTATAATATTATGATATAAAAGTTAACGTAATAAAAATTGAAAACGATTCAGTTTATGTGGATGAAAAATAGAATTGAAAGAAATGACTTTTAAATCCCAAAATAATTAACGCAAATCGTCTCCATAAATTTTGGGTCGATAAAATTAACCGAAATTTTAATGGTAAAAATTGATCAAGCGACATCAAATTTTGACACTCATTGTCGCCTTTATTTATTTCTCTATTATTTAAAAAAAATATATTTCCACCATTTTCTGTAAATATTTTTTACGTATATTATAATGCCGTTTAATGATTCCATAGCCATTTGTTCTTATGATTGTCTTGTCATATACCACAAGAGTTTTTTAGAGAACTTTTCCCTATCAATAAAGCTATCCCTTGTACCGTACAATGACAATTGATATTAATATACTTATATCAAAGGTATCTATAGATATCATAGGTGGTTCTCTCCGCTCAATAATTTTAAAAACGTATTGGTTTAAGTAAAGTCACCTATAAAACAGTAAACTATATTGTTATTTATTATCCTATGCTTTATTGATACTTTACTAAAGAGTCAGACATGAACTTACTTGCTATTATCTCGTTTAAGATTTTTAATTATCGACTGCAATCTTTTTTTTGTGAGTAATACTGTGCATGCAAAAAATAGTGAGACAAAGAAATAATTTTCATGTAAATAAAAAAACATATTTAAAATAATATATGTTATTAGAATTATCGCATAAAAGTAATCAACCGTCAAGCATATTGTTCAATTGTAATAAATAAAGTCATAAGTAACATGCTCTAAGTATATAATATTATATTAAATTATCTAAAAATTTGAATAATGCACGTATTTCTTGTAAATAAGCAAATTCCGAGAATAAAAGAAAAATACATAATGGTTGTCTACAATATTTTGTATAATTTAATTTAGTAATATTTTTTTTATTTTATTTTATTCGTCTAATCAACTACATGTCTACATAGTAATTACGTATATAATCGTTAAAAATTTAAGTAACATTTCATCACTGATCCGATCGTGTAATAACACTTATTATATACTAGCACTTTTGGGTTTGTTAAAAAAATGGATAAAAATCATCTACCATTTTATAATGTTTTGCTATAAACTCATTATTTTGTATAGCTATTATTACGATATTATATAACAATAATCGTTTTTAAACCGTTTGGAATTATGTCGTCTATACAATAGTCACGAGGTAACCCCGTCCGCTGAACAGCAGAAGGCAGGGGCGCTCGGCCAGAAGAAGATTATGCGGAAATTTCGATTTCGTCTGCGACGAACGGTTTAATTGAAAACACGCCCCTCTTCGGGTTTAATTTAGACGTTCAAAACCATCATTTTTGCCTGACCTCCTCACTACCTTAATCCTGACTATATATTGCAGACATCGGTGACAACGCGTTTGTTAACCACAACTACCAATCGAGAGGAATACTGCACCACAGCTAGAGAACCGTTGTCACTTAGGATTATAATATAACATTACGATTTGTAAATGTATATATACAGCAGCAGTATACAGGGCGTATATAATGTGTATACTGCACAAAATTATATATTTTGTATATAATCCATTTATATAAAATATAAACCAATGCATGCAATAAAAGGAAAACAATAAATACAAAATCGGTGTCGCGCTTTCGAAATATTTTTACTGAGATAATATTTATTGTTATAACTGGTTGATTTTTCACCATTTTCCAAAATACATTTTTAGATTTTGAACGGAGAAACGACAAATGTATTGATTATATTATAAAGTGTATTTTTTTTTTTGTGTGTCTGAAGAAACTTGTTATAGTTAAAAAGATACTTATATTTTTTACTTAGAGGATAGTTTCGTGTAATTAATTAGATCTAGTTTGAACTTAAGGGGAGATCAAAACCTAAAAATGTCCAGTTCATTTCAAAATAATCAGAAATTAAAAAAATAAATAAATAAGGTTTAATAACGATGGTTTAAATTAACAATTTATTTCAATGATTTATTGACACTCGACATGTACTGTACAGCAAAGCAGTTACCTATACTTAACAGATTTTCTTTAGTTGCTAACGCGAACAATATAAATAACGAAAAATGAAGTCAACTATTGATTATATTAAATGTTTGTTATTAAAATGCATTTTACGTTCAAAAATAGCATCCTTTAAAATGTATTATACATTGTGATATTTGTCGTTTTTCCGGCATAAATTGATCGATTTGAATTATGTATATTGTTACGAATTTACGTAATCGGATCACACCATACATAATATAATATTTTTCCCAAACCGATAAAAATATTTTATTTTTACGGTGTTTGTTTGACATCATCAGCAAACGTAAAACGATAGTATCAAACCGTATACACATTATTTCGGACGATCGTGAGCAATTTGTGAGTTCGAAAAGATACAAACAGCTGATATTTTCGCCCCACAACCTTTCACGTCGTTTAAAGTTATTGCGAAAACAGCATTTTGAATATTGATAAGAATACTGCACGTTGGTGTAATAACGCGACTCTATCTTCGTGAACACATTTCTGTGTGACCGTTATTACAAAACTTTAACACATACGATAAAATAAATATCACATTATTAGAAAAACCGTTTTTTTTTTATTACTTTTATTCCTTGCCATCGCCTTTTAGTTTTGTTTATCCGATTAACTAAAATTTTAATTTAATGGATTCGTATGTTCTACTTATTGTCGTTTCATCCATCAACTATGGTTCAAGCACATTTTAATGTATGCAGTCCATGTGTGGTGCACACACACGCCGTCGAAAAATATTATAAACCATTCTTATATTTTACAATATTATATTTAATCTGTATACATTTTTATTTATTTTAAACTTTTAGATTTAGGTTAATATTAATTTCAAAAAATAATTGATTACAATGGTCTACTTGATAAAATACTCGTAAGACATTTTTAATAAAATTAAACTGAATGAGTTTCATATTGTTCTAAATTAAGCGTTCTATTTATATTTTTAAACCCAGAATCATGCAGTTAAAAAATTATCGCGAGTATGTTTTCGAGTGAATAGAATTTCTATGCTAGCCTAAGCGCTATATAATAATAATATGAAATATAAAGTAAACATTACGACTTTAATCATAAATCTTTTATAAAAAATGGAGTCTCAGTGTTCAGAACCTATAGAAATATTTTGATTATGTTTCTCATAAAATAAATTAAAACCGACGCTTAGCCCTTTTTTTTCTCGTTTTACCAATCACTGTCAATAATATCATCACTTTGTTTAACGATATATGATTCTGACGATTACGTGTATGCCAAAAGCAATAAGTCATAGAAATCTCATCTCCTAACTCCACTCCCACCATACTAATCACCACCACCAATTTAACGAGTGATGCACTATCTCTTAACCACCATTGATCTGTTGTTTTCGCAGGACGCTAGCAGTCACAGCAATTTGGGAGCCATGCTGCATCTGAATGGCAAACATCGCGAGGCTTTATCCAGTTATCAAAATGCGCTAAGGATATCGCCAGACGACCGAACTACGCTAGACAATCTCAACAAGCTGAGAAATGTGTTACGTCGCCGATCCAAAGCGGCGTGATGATAGCCACTACATTGAGAGCAGTGATAATTTTATTGAAATAATATATTGTAATAATATGATGATAACATTGACGATGACGGTGATGAGTGTGTAGTTTTGTATTTAAACATAATTTTCTACATTTTTTTTTTTTATTTTTAGTTTATATATATATTAAAAATATCTAAACCTGTACATAATAAAGTATAAATATAAATGATATAGTTTATATATATTTATTATATACAATATAATTAATGTCTATTATGTATTAAATTAATTATATTATGTAATTATAAAATTGTTTACATAATATTATTCTATAATATTGTGTAGTGTATATACTATTATTATGTTAAATTTTATATTATTTATATAATTTTTGCATCATAATATATTATATTTATACATATTTATGTACAGAGTGGCAAAAATATATGGTCTTCATCAGCATGAAATTCAAATTCAACGGACCACTCTTAATTACGATATGTATAATTGAAACTGTCGATTTTCTAAAATGACTGTGAGTTAAAAATATAGGTTTATATAGGTACAAAATATATTCTTTATAGCATAGTCTCATAAAAAAATTATTTATAATACATGTTTATTGTTTATTGTGTGTGAAAAAACCATGCAACACGACATTCGAGGTTATTGAGCTCAGTAGTACTCATACAAATTCGAATTCGAATTTATTTAAGTTTATACTACAACAAATCATACTGCGATGTATCAGATAACGTAATATTATCTCATTTTTGATTTTATTTACCCTGACTCAATATAGCTTCTAAAAACCTTCCCGAGAAAATTGACAGTTTTCAATATAAGAGAAAAATACTCCACTGAATAAAAATACTATACCTAAACTTGCAGGAGACCGTGTCTTTTTTCAACTTTGTAAGTAAGTAAAACATTTAAATATTGTACAAAACCAATAGAGGTAATATATATTTATTTTTATTTCTGTAACTTTAATAATATTATAATCCAAAATCGTGAATGACGAACTAAACGTGTCGAACCTATAGACTTGCGATAATTTTTTTGGCGATCATCTACCAGAAAATCGATGGGAAACGTAAAGAATATAGGGAATCAGATATTGTCTAAACATTACCATAGTTTTCCAAGTTTACCATCATTACAATACATGCCATTTTTTCAAATATTTTCAAACATTCTTCCCGTTTCTTCTTGAACAGTGTAAACACTGTAATCTTTCTTTTTTTTTTTTTTAAGTATTGTGTTCCGGAAACAATGTTTGCATAACTACTATAGTTATATCCAAATTATTTATTTACGTCTCTCTTCTCAACCTATTATTTAAAAAGTTATTTAATATAAATAAAAACGCGTTATTTTCGACGCCGCGCGTTGTCGCCCAGTCATTCGAACTCGACTTAATATTTTTCTAACGAGTATTTTTGTTTCGTGTACGCTCGTGAGTGTCGCGCTTGAAATGTTTTTCTCTTATCATTACCATTATTATTTTTTACATTTCATGGCTTTGTTTGTCGTAATTGTCGTGCTAAGAGGGAATGTTTATTCGATATTTTTTCGTTAATATTTTTATCATTATTTTTAGTCCTCAGCAAAACAATAGGAAGAGGAATGTACCTATTTTTTGACAGTACGTTTCGTTTATTTTTAACTGTGTATATAATATATTATTATGAACGTAATATAAATTATAGTATTGTAAGCGTACATCTCTCTGTGTGCAATATGTCAAATGATTAATGTTTTTAAGATAGACCTTAACCGACCGACCGACCGACCTACCGTTTTTTTTTTTCACGGCCGTCTCGATTTATTTTTTTAATCCATTTTCGTAACAAAAATGATTTATAGTGTGTATTAATAATATAATTTATTTACTGCGACCGTTGTGCGGTGATATTGTCGCTCGATTGTCGGCCGGGAAACACGTTTTTCGAGATTTTCAGAAATACCAAAAAAAAAAAAAAATCACTGTTTTTGCTTTCTAGACAACGATATTCGTGATAATCAATACGCCACCACAGCGTTATTCGTAAATCGCAACTTCGATAATAAAACATACCTACGCCCAATGTAATAAATTTCTATAACGGGATGTCGGCTTATTAAATTATAAATAATATTATAAAGCTTCATCAACATCCTGACTCAAATTGAAACCACGTATTAAAGCCATAAATAGGTGCATATTATAATATTTATAATAATATATGTAATGCGATTTATTAAATATATAATTTATAGTTATGAGTCTCACAATTACACAAACATAAAAATACTATATATATATATATATTATATAATATACTCGTGTATATACTCGTTTTATATACATGTATTTATGTGATTTATATAATATTTAAAAATAAATATTTGATATTTTGTACATTTCATGAAGACAATAAAATTAATATGTCTTAAGATTTTTTAAGTGTTTCCAAAATGTATTTTTTCCTCCTCTATTCCATGGATGTATTCAGTTGTTATTGTTACTGTAGTCCACGTCTTCGGGCAACTGTATTGTGTGATCGATATAATCGTCGTTCGGCTGTTGATTGCCCATAAACGGCGGGGGACAGCAGTACGGACTACCCCTAACGCTGGTTTTTGAACAGTACGGCGCGTCAGAGTTGGTTACACAGTACACGCCGTTCACCCTGGAATACCAAACTCGTTAAGCATAATATTATTGTGTAAAGAAAAAAAATAGTCCATAATGTGAATTTTCATTGTAGAATGCGTCACTTTTAAAAATAATTAAGTAGTATTATATTCAAATAAAATCGTATTTAAATTAGTAATTACTTTAATTTTTAACGAGAAAAGTAACTTAATAACTTCGAACTTATATTTTAATCCGTGAAAATTTTCAAAAAAAAAAATATCAGTCAAATAATTTACAATAAAAATTAGGGTTCTTATTTTAAAAACAGCAGATTTTTTTTTTCTCTAATACAAAAATCAGATTTTGATAATTGCATTATTGAAGACAAATGGATGATTATGTTTGGTAATTCAACCTGTAGATATTTATATTTCATATTATTATTATAATTTTTTTTTTTTTTACGAATTAAATACTGTTTTTTTTCAAATTTTCGATACTTGAAACAATTCTTAAAAAAAATCTAACGAAATTACGTTATGTTGCTAGTCAATACTATTTATTTTAAAACTCGTATAAACCTTGGAGAAAATTAAAATTTTGGTCACATCTATTACAGTGATTATGATCATTTTTATCAAAATCATAGCATGGTCCCAAGATAGATATAACGCGAAAGTAACACAAAATCAGTATACAAAAATACAATTATTGCTTGTGATGACGTCTTTTAAGTTGGTTTCTATCTATAGCTCTAATTCGAATATCGTTTAAAATTAAACCATGTGAAAAAATATAAGTAAGACAACATAGCTACTTGACACTGTTATACCAATTCTCTAGCCTGAAATTCGTTAAGAAATGAGACAGAATACTTACTCATCGGGTGTATATTGGCCTAGGACAACATACGGTGTTTGGCCAAAAGAGTTGACGATCGAAAAGCTTGAACTTCCTTCACCCCCCTGCAAACATCTCCTGGTACATGGTACCGCTTTACGGGCGGTGTCTGGGTCCAAACTCTCAGCTAGATAACACACGCTTCTCGTGTGACCACACAGTTCAGTATCTGCAACACACCATGAATAAGAACAAAATATTTTATTCGATTGTATAAAATGGTAAAAAAAATTCTCAACACTCGTTGTGGGGTTGCAAAAATTGACTTCTCCTGGCTACAATTTCTATTTAGCCTGTAATCCCACACTTTTTCCTTAAAATTACCAAACTTAATTGAAAGTACTCCAAAGCAAGGGTTGTAATAAATTTTTATACTGAATCATTACACCTTGGTAGAACTCAATCCGTTCGCTATTAAATAGATGGTCGCAGTACTGAGAAACAAAATTAATTCAAGGTCACTAATCTTAGTAAGTTATCAGCTCAAACATTCATATTTTGAAACCCAACATAAATATTAACAAATAATTACATTTTTTACAATAATATCTATAAATACCTTATTATTTTACAAAAAATACAGAATTTTGAATCGGAAACTTTTTCAATAAAGTTTATTATTTACCGATAACCGGGAGCTAGTATAGCTGTGGCCGTTACTTACTCTCAGTCGCATTCCGCGACTGGTAGCAGCCAACGCGCCACGCCAAGCCACATATTTTGTACTGATTCAAATAATTACCATAATATTGATTGTTAGTATTTTTTTTTATTATGATTATTTCTATTATTATTATTATTATTTAAGTAGGCCTGCATAACCAAATTTATTTCAATATAATTTTTACTTTGGCGTGACTAGCCACGATACTGTATGGTAGTAACGCAGCGATCCAGTTTAGCACTGAGTATATCACTATGGTTATTAGCTTAATTCTGAGTTTGAGTTTACTGCAGAGCTATATTCCTATATGTACTTACCGGAAGCGTTCAAACAAAATGGTTGCACGTGTCCTCCGTTCAAACAGAAATCCACATGCCCCATACGCTTCAGATCTCCGTACCTAGACGTGGCGTGTATGATCTGCACGACGTCTGCGTCTCCAGAATCCAATCGGCTGGACGCCCGATTTCGAATTAATGGTTTCGCCGGATCCACGCCTATAAAATGGTGAATATGCAATGAAAATCGAAAACCGAAATTTTATAATAAATTACATACCCAGGTCTAAATTAGGTTGTTTGTGCACTTTGAGTGATCGTAATAACTACAATAGTATTGCATACCCTTAAAAATAAGGTACCTATACAAGTTCATCAGTACAGTCTATTTTTGACCAAATGTTTTGAAAAATTAAAACCAATTCTTTACTAAATTTTGAGTTTTTATCAAATACTAGTTTTTGAAAGTCCTACTATTAAATTCTACGAGTACACTGACGTCTTAGTCTGTTCAACATTTTTTAATACATCATTGTCAAAAGTGAATAATTTAATCCGTTAGGTAAATTTAGATCAAGTTAATATAATAAGTACTTGTATTACGGTACGATATTATAATACATATGTGTATACCTATACCTATAATTAGTCGAATATTTTAATGTATTGACAAATTCCATATTTTCCCCGTTAGATATTTTATTTCTGAAACATTGTTTTTTTTTTGTTTTGCACCTATCCAGATGATCTTTTTCACTTTTATCGTACATATGTATGAAAATATTTAAATATATATATATATATACATGTGTGTGTGTGTGTGTGTGTGTACTTACCTATGATACGGTGCATTCTAAATGGAAGGTAATTGGCCATAATTCCACATAGATGTGCACCAAGACTGTGTCCCACACACGTGAGCTGGTCCACATCCAGGCCGGCGGCTCGCAAATGCGTCAACATAACCGCCATACATCTGGCCACTGGCTTGAGATTGTGAACGGCAGCCGCGTAACACGGGATCAACGATAATTTGCCCCAGTCCACCATAAACACGTTGTACTTTCCGTTTTTTAAGTACGCTATAAATCAGATAAAATATCAATATAAAATATGTATGCATATAATTTCAAGTGACCTAACCTAGATCGTTAGTTTATGTTGAAATGAGGAAAAATATTGAGACTACTCATATTTTGAAATAGAATAATTTTCAAAAAAAATGTAGTCCTTTATCAGTAAAAAATTCAATCACCCATATTTTTGCTTTCGACTTCTTAAAATATTTGATAAAAATGTATAAAAAAGGTAGTTTGTTTTCATTATAAGTTTTGATATGGAGACTTTTGTAGGTCACATACGTTACCGAGTACATTGATATATAAATTAATTTATAGTATAACGTTTATCTTTTCGATGCAATAATGGTTTATAATCATTTCATTATACATTTATTCAAGTGTGAATTATAATTTGTGTTTTGTTAGTATTTACAGTCGTGGTTGCGTTGCATTTATTAGGTACATACCTATATATAGTGTTCAAACTCGAACCCTTCAATAATCCGAACGACAGCTGTATACATAATATTATATTATTGCATTGGTATGAAGGTGTTTTTTTTCCATCCCGATATTGTACCTACCTATGCATAATATAATTTCATTGAGTTTGCATAAAACATTTTAAATCCGTTTATTTTATTATCTCACACGCGCTCAATCAGCATCGAATCGTTTAAATATGGTCGTTATAAAGATAAAAATATATTATTTCACATACTTTTTGTGTACATGATCACTTGCATTTAATCTAAAAATATTACTGTTACCACAATTAATGCGTCTAACGATATCTATATTGTACATCCATTTAAATCGCTATAACCATTACCTACACTTTAATAATTACCTTGGTGTTGACTTAATTCGTTTTGTAGAAAATATGTTTTTTCTAATACTTTCTTCCGATAAAATTTAATGTGATTAAATGTCTGTGAAAAAATATAGATTTTTAAAATTTGAGCTGAGCGATAAATGTATTAATTTTTCAGGTATACTAATTATGTTGTTATGCTATTTTTGTATGTAAGTGTGTCTGAAAACACTTTTTTTTTAGTAATTTTCCTATCATCAACTCCTGTAAAAGTTTCTTGCAGATTAAGTATGTACTTTTAAAAGTCAAAATTGGGAATCCTCTTTTAAAAATAATCGGAAAATTAACTAAAAAAAAACAAACACTTATAAAAATGTTATTAAAATAACTGTTTAATAATATAGAACCTATATTATAGGTTATCAAAAAAAAAAAAATTACTGAGCTTTGCTCACAATCGTTTTTTTTTTTTTTTTTGTGTATTCGCAATGATCTCTCATCAAATTCAAATTTAACACATACTACATCAATTATTACAATATCTTCTTAATGACAAAGTGCACTCGACTCTTACTGTCGTAAATCAGAGTGGTTACCTACTTTCCTATTTTTTTATATTTTTTTATTGCGTAGAAGTATAATTAAGATTCTTATATAGAGCAAATAAGTAGACATCATACATTTTGACAGACACTCTAATAATTATTGTTTTAATATTTGCAAATATTTATAAATGGACATACCAATCTATCAAAATACTTAAGCTTATAAGAGGAAAAAAATCAGCTAAATCTGTTAATAAAAACAATGGTAGAAAATGAAAAATTATAGTTTCAATTTATGTATCTATTTTAAAATTCTTATAAATAGTTTAAGAGCCAATTAAAAAATCACTTTATTTATGCACAGAAATATAAGATTTAAAAATATGAGTCAGACGTTATCTACATAAGAACCGTGCTGATTTGAGCAGAATATAACAGTTTACGGTTGTTTGCCTTTTAAAGTAAATAATATTTACGAATAAACCTATCGAAACCGAAAGTATATTATTATTTACGCGTCTTCCGTTTAATACGGAAATAGCAAAAAGAAAAATATTTAGTGTAACCTATCTTATGCGTATGAAATATTATAAAAAAAGTAACCCGTGTAATAATTCAATGTTCCTACGAAATAGTAAATATTTATTAAAGTTATTATATTATGATTAACGATTTTTGTAAGATTTTCCACAAAGTGTGAACATTATCATACGTTTTAATGTAAAACTTAATTTTCCAACTTGCAAAACTTATTTTTTAGGTAGGTATAGGTATCAAAGTTACTCTATTTGGATTCTTACACTTAAAAAGTTTAAATCACACTACAACTGCAATGCAGTTCACAAAAGCCAGATAATATCCAGAGTAGAATAAGTAAATTAATTCATGAACCTTATTTTTACTACCTCAGAGACCAGTGAAATAAAACGTAATAAAGCAAACGAGGATTCTATCAAAAGTAAACACACTCAAGTAAAAATAATCACATTAAACGCGTTCACCGTAGTATCATTAAAGCTATACTTACAACTTCTCTCAAGACCAAATTGGTTCCCCTTCTAATATTAATGCCTGTTAAACAGATTCCCAGTGCAACTTAAAAGTCAAAACTCTAGAAAGATGAACAAATTGAATTATTTGCTTATAAACCATCTTAAATCCGTGTGACTCATTTTAAAAAGTAACAATGAAATTTAACGATGCGTTGAATATACAGGAAAATTTCCTTTACTCGCTATACACTCATTTCCTATTTATTTCCGTCAAAAAAAAAGGTAAATAATATTTAAAATTCCAACTAAGTGATATTGGTTTTACAATGATGTTTTTTTTATTTATTTGTATTATGTATGTGTATGTGTGTCTGAAAACAAATTTTCTAGTACAGAAAATGTTACAATCATTAATTTTAATTAGAGTTTCCGATACTAAATTGGATCTAGTTTGTAACTTGGTTGGTCGAAAGAAATCTCATTTACTAGAATACGAAAATTTGTTAAAATGTGTATACTACTCAATCATTATTCTATCAATTATTTGATAATTTAATTTCCAATAAGTTAGACTGAATTTTCTTTTCATTTGATGCAACTGATGTGTATGTATCATTAATCTTTTTAAAAAATTTAAAGTTGATACTTACTTAAAAATAATAAAATAAAAAAAGTAAATAAATACCTAATAAATCTTAAATAATAATAAATAGATTTTTATTTTATAAACTAAATGTTTATAAATTGAGTTTTTGTTTAAAAGTAGTCTTACAAATAAATATTGTAACAGAGTGAATATACATCGTGATTTACGGTCGAACCATCATTTCGGTAAAACGCCGACGACGAAGGTGACAGTAAGTTTAGTGAAACGGTCATTCAGCGGACTCAGTTATATAACTATATCTACGTACTAGCATAGGCTGAGGGGAATTACATGAATTATATTCTTGACTTTGTTGGGTCTATTCTCATCACATTTTTCAGTGTCCCATCACTATCGTTGTCGTAGTTTATTTTATCCATCATTGCTGTGTGTACCTTGTAAAACGTTTACGTTATATGTACTACTATACTATACTTCATTAATTACGTTTTCTGCTTGAGTTGAAAATCTATATATTAAATGAAAAATTACAATAGTCTGATCAATATTCTTCATGATTATTTACTCACTAATAATTACTTCAAATCTTAATTATAAAATTTACATTAGATGTATATATATATATCGTCTTGGTATTTAAATTTTAAACAAAAGTACCAAGTATTTAATTTCACAGTACTTGTAATATGAGTATTTAATATCTTAAAATACTTAAAACCTATGTATATTGTACATTTGTACCTATATCGAGTAACCAAGTTAGTGATTCTCAAAGATATTTTATTCTAGGCAGTCTAGGCAATATTGGACATTTTCTCAAATCTCGCGACATATTACGGTATGAATAACATTATGTACAATTAATATACTTATGTTTTCAATAATTATTTGGCAAGCATAAACTAAATTCATAGCACCCCGGTTGAAAATCAATGATCTAGGCACTGATATCGACATACATCTCGAAAAACCTTGCCAAATGTTGCGATTAATTGAAACAAACATTGATTAATGAAACGAAGTTATCACTATACTAACCGTCTCTAAGCACGGCACTGGGCAAGTAATCTTGCGCTGTTCCTCCATATCCGTGCACAATTAACACCGTGTGCAGTGAACGATCCCATCCGCTCGAGTGTAGCCAGGCGGGTGATGTGAATTCAATTTGTTGCTTCTGCATTTTCAAATACCCATCTTCTCCTCCACCAGTGTTCCTAAAATTTTATATATCAATATTTTATCATTATGTAGTGTTTGAAAAATATGTGACTTATATTATCATAATAATGATTATAAGCATTCCATGACTAAACGTTTAATTTTTTTCAATAAACGTATATTCTATATAGTATGTTTTGAAGTTCCATATACTTTAAGTACCCCTATGACAATAAAATCAATTTTAATTATTCTGTTTTAAAATAAATTTATAAAAAAATTTGATTTAATGTTATAATTGTTTTAAAAAAAAAAAAAACATTCTTATAAGTTTATCATTGATTAGTTATTATGAAAGACATTGAATAGTGAACATGTTTCTTAATAATTCAAAAAAACATTTTTGTTCTCTATTATTTATAAATGTACATGTATTATTCACAGTTCACTAGCAGTCGACATAATCAAACATCTAAAGAAAAAAAAAGATCTTCATTTAATTCTACATATTTTTTTTTACATCGATTTCGCAAAGGTTTTACACAATCAAAATAATCAATAATACGTACATTTATTTAAAATTACATTATCGCTTAAAATCGCACAGCAATTAATCATATTTAAACAAAATCAAACAGTCATAAGCAATTCTATTAATTAAATAAAATATATGAAAACTCTAAGATGTAAATGTATTCCAATCTAAGTATTATCTACATACTTAACACGTCTATTTAACCTTATTATAAAATACAAATAGAATTATTTTTACACAACTTTATACAATAGCAATATGTTTAATTTTTATCTGTCAATCAATCAAAAAAAGGTTTTGAACTATCGACCTCCTAAATTTCTCTTTTCAACAATAAAAAAAATAAATACGGTATTGAACGGTCTAAAATGTACGGTTATGAATGTTAAGTGAATGATTCCTACATAGCAACTGGTAAAAATTATAACAAAAAAAAAATAAATGTCTAACGAATTTCCGATAGACAATTAACCAAAAATTATGTTTAATCGGAAAACACATTGGTGTACTGTTTTATTTTTGTAATTTTTAAAATAGTTAATCTTATTAGGTAAATCTGTTTATAGAGATTTATGCGATTTAAAATTAAAAACCAAAATTATTGAAACGGCATCTTTCTAGTCATTTTGAACCACAAACTAAAATAAATAAATAATAATACTTCCATATAAAAATTACTGTTTTCAAAACTTTATTCTGGCTGGTGATTTAAAAACTTACAAAAGATCTAAAAATGAACCTATTGAAGATAAATAGTTATCGTATTGATGTTCAGATCACAAAATTTCGAATAACAACAAAAATTACCGGATTGTGAGATTGATCTTTGATTATAAAATATATAATCTAATAATTATGATATATTATATATTATAGTACATAATTATAGAAGTCAAGGTAGTTACTTAATTACTTTTCAAACAACTTATGTTTTAGTTTTTTCTATAACACGGTTTATTGTATGGGAAAATTAAGTACATTTTCACGAGGAAACAATAAAAATATATTCGAAGTGTCCATCGCATGTTGTCATTAATATGAATGTAATATAGGTATAATATAATAGTATTATATTTATTTGTGTCCATTTAATATTTATTATTGTATGTTATAAAAATATAAAGTATTTTATTAATTTGGTTTTTGAGAAAATTCTAATAAATATAAGCCCAAATTAAACGCTAAAAAAATTTAAAAAATTAAATTAAAAATAAATAAATAATTAATTGAAAAAACAAATATTTTTTCTCTATGCTTTAGTTTAATTAGAGTAATTGGAAATATAATCAATATGACTTTAGCTTCATATCAGACTGGTAGTATAGAAATATTTCGAAAAATTTCAGATCAAATTGTTTAATAAAACAACCACTTTTTGCCACTATTAGAAGTGTTTATAAAATTGCAGTGTAAATAAATGATTTTAATCATATTATACGCCATAACATATAGTTAATTTATCAACATTATTAAAACGTAAGAATGTTAATATGGATTATGAAAAACATCGATAAAGAATAAAATAAAAAATCTACAAAAATACGAGTATTATATTATCCGTTGTTCACCTTAATGATCTATTTTTTTTATTTTACTCCTTTAATGAGATTTTTATAGATTTTATAATCTATTCTGAACTTTTATATTAATTTGGTATTAGTAGCTCATTAAAATTCGATATGATTCTTTCCAGTGCGAATATTGTGAATTTTATTTTTAAAACATTTATTTTGCTTTCATTGCATGAAACTTTTTTTGTTGATTTTATATATTTTTTATTGTAAATCAAATCATTAAAACATTCAGTTAACGAAAAATTAACCATTTAAAACTGTTACAAAACACATAAAAACCGGAATAGGAAGTGGTGGTTCGGCATATAGATTTAAATATGTATGTAACCATGATATATCTTTCTATCATTGTCACATACCTACTCAAAATGTTGAAATAATTTAATTGTATTTTACATTTTCGACGCATCGATCAGCTGTTATTCAATAAACAACTATCTATTAAAACAGATTTTAAATGTGAAGTATTTTCAATTTAACTTCACTATACGACATATGGCAATAAAAACCATTAAAACCGTTCTAAAAGTTTGCAGATAACAATGTTTTTCATTTATTTTATTCAAACGCGAACTAATTTTAAAATGTACTTTTAAAGTTTAATAGTCTTGTTCATAGTATTTTTATTTGATTTTAATCTGCCTTATAAACAAACAGCAGTAACTTTCGATTGCGTACACGAAATATTTCAAACCATCACAACCAACGGAGTGATGAAATATTTTCGTGATTTCGGGCAAACACACTGCGACGTATAAATATCACAACAATATATTATGTCTCCTCGCGAAATTTTGTCCTGCGTCGACAATTTTTAAAAACTGTCTTTGTACGAAAACAACCCATTATACTCATCGTCGTGAATTCGTGTATTGGTATACCCACCACGCCACGTTGACGGTACTCAAGTGAGTATACACGCGTGTTTATGATTTGACCTTTCCAAAAGCGTGGATGACAACACGGTGTACACACATAGACACAGACACGCACACGCATACAAACACTAACATAGAAACTCAAGTACGAACACTATACACACACACACACCGCACAGTTATCGTTAACAAAGGAAACCCGGAGAAAACGGTTTTGAGGAAATTCGGTCCTTATAATATAATATAATATATTATGAGGCTACAACTTACTCTCCTGTTCCATTATGTTTATCGTCGCGTTGTTTAAACTCGATGATACTCAAATGGGCGTGACTGCCTTTTGCCGCCGTTTCGTCTCTCTCTCTCTCGCTCCCTCTCTCTCTCACACACACACACACAGGCACGCAATCGCTGTCTATTTACGTGTAACTCTTCTTTCGTCAATTCCTCTGGTCCCTCTTTATCATCCTCTGCCTCCACGTTTAACAACGCACACCGCCGCGCTGTTTGGTCAAAACTTTGAAACGCGTCGTATTTGCATGCCGCTCACTCGCCACATCCGACCGCTACCAAAGATCCCCTACGCTCGTCCGCTTTTCTGTCCGCAGTTTAGCTACAGCTCTCGCTCCGCACGGAAATATAATGACGTCCTATCTTCCGCCGCGCGTCCACAGCGGTAACGATTAACGATCGCGATAGACATTTTTGTCCCCCCCCCTCGATCACAATGATTACCTCTACGTATAACAAAAATACCACAACACATAAAAAAAAAAAAAAAACTTTGGTTATCGTTGTGTGCAGTTTGCCGTAATATTCAGCAGTGCGCAAACATGAAAATCTTATAAGAACAAGTAGGTATAGGTCCACTGAAACCACGTTTTATTATATACGTGTAATATTATTATTATTACCGCAAACGCGGTATTGAACTTTGATTTAATATATTCATGTTTGTGATTGTATTTTTATCACTTCAACTCGAGATTAATACACAAAAATTAGAACAAATATTTTATTAATTTTATTTTCACACTTTTTAATTTATTTTAATATTATCGTGCACGTTCGTTCAATCAATATTTAATATTTATTCGTAACTCAATACTGCAGTGCATAACCGAAGATGTTGAAATTATTATATTGTTATCGAAAATATTTTTATTTTTTTTTTTTTCAAAAGAATGCATCTCTTCAGGCAAGCTTATTGGGTATCAATTGTCGAATCTGAATTCTATAATATCATTTTCTTAGAAATAGTTTCTGTACGAAACATTGAAAAAATTCTGCAGCGTACACATTTTTTCTTATACATTTTGTATGCAAATTGAATATTGGATTTACCGATAAAGTTTTTATATTCCAATCAAAATCAATGATGTATAATATTAAATATATCTACATGATCTTTGTTCTCATTAGCACAAAATCTCTAGATTATTAATTCATGTAACAAAAATATTATCTAACCACAGTTGATTAGTATTTACAAATTAATATTTTTTTATATATTTATTTAAATTTAATAATTTTAAATAAACTAGTTATAACCATTAACAATATTTAATTAATATCATTTTCAGTTTTTTTGTTATAAATAATGGATATTATTAATATATTAGCAATATATTTCTCTTTAATAAATATTACATTAATTAAATAGTACGTCCTAAATTGCTGAATCATACGAAAAAACAATCATTTTCGAAAACATTTCATACGTCATGAAACACGCGCTATGTAATGCAAGTAAACTTAAGTTACCACATCTGAATAATTGCAGTTATGTATACAGAACAATAATAATGATAATATAAGTTCTATAATTATCATTAATAACCAATAGTTCTCAAGGGGTTTTTGTATCGTATATGGTATTCTAATAGCAGCTATTATTTTACAATAAAACCTAGCAAAAAGGTATATATATGGGTTTCCAGTTACATTGATCTAGAATTGGCAATATTCTTTCTCTTTTTTACAACATTTCATGTCATCTAAATGTGTATTATGACAAATGCTACTGAGATCGTAAGCGTATATTATTTATTTTGGTCCCTAGCTTAACAGTATCGGGCTTCTTTTGATGTTTTATAGTTATAAACGAAAGTTTTTGAAATTGGATTTTAATTCGTAGATGGTGTATACCCTTATTACAGTGAATTTACATAAATTTATCTATAACATTTTTTTCGGAGGGGTGGAAAGGTGAATTTTTTTAAAACATCTTGTAGAAAAGGTTGACGATAACAATTATAATTTACAGACGTAAGTAATTAACAACTGTGTAACTGAGATGTATAGTAATAGTTATCATTTTACGAGTATTTTAAGTGTTGATTTGTCATTAACTAATAGATAAAGAATTCTCGTTATAATTTAAGACACTCATCTTTAAAACAAACATGTTGTTATTAATTAACGAAAAATGATAAATCACAAATAATGACCAATAAAAAAACACAATTCAAAAATTTTAATTATTTTACAAATGTTGAGGACAAAAGACTAAAAGTAAATCTATTGTATTTATGTATGTTTCTAAATGAACGAAATTTAGGTGATAAAAGATACGAGAAATAAGTTAACTAATGAATATTGTACATACCTACCGTTCAAGTGTATAAATCAATTGTGCATTTAATACATATATAATATTGCACCAATAACAAATTTAATACCCGAGAAATTTAAAACATTGTCAGTTAAGTTAACAAAATCAGTTGTCTTTATTTAGATACTCCATATCTAACAAAAATAAATAATAAAAATAAAATTCACTAACAAAACAAAACTATAATATAATAGTATAAAACAGTAACAAAAACTTGATATTGAAGTTATATATTGTTTTAAACTGCGCTATTTAAAAAATTACTTCGTTCTCATTGTATTATTTAACTATTTAATAAGAAAGAAAAATATTTCGTTTAAATACATTATATTTATTTACATTTTTTAATTTACGAGTATTTTTAACCACATATAATTAATAATATTAATTTCTATAGTTTACAAATAAATAAATCAATCTTTCGTATGGTTATGATTCGAACAATTTTCAATTACCATAAATAAACAAGGTTCGCTATTGATAATTTTGAATTTATTATTATTATTAAGATAGCGATCAATATTTCATCAGATGCACTATAAAATGAACTTCAGTTATCAACTGATCAACCCTAATTAGTATAATTATTACCATACATTTTTCCACAAAATTTAATCCTATTTTTTCACTCTCAAAGATCTATATATGTCTTTAACCGTATAGATTACAGTATTAAATCGCAACTATCTTTATACATAAACAAAGCATACGCATGTTTACAAATGATTGGTTTTCAGTTCAATGCTTATAGTTGTAGTTTGACTGCGTTAAAGCATATTCACTACAAGTAGAACTATTTGATTCTAACTTTTTACAATAGTCAATAGAGTTGATAAGACGTATATTTTAATAATTTAACTATTTAGGTATTTTATCTAATCAAATATCGATTAATTACGCGCTATAATCTATTAAAATCTATTATACTCTGACATAAAATAGATTATTTAGGGTTGCCTAGTGAGTGAATAAACTAATAATTCTACCAAATGCACCTCATCATCTACTTTTCATTTGTTTATACATAAGTAATGCACTTAAATTCCCTTACGTTTTACAAATTCATATTTTTATCATTTTTTTTTTTTTTTTTTTTTAATATTTTAATTATTTATCAGCTAATAATTGACTATTTGTATCATTATCTTTAATATATTATTTATTCATTTTAAATATTTTTTATTTTTGTTTACACAAATTTTATCATTTTCAATGTATATGTGTATTAACTAAAATAATATTTACCATCAAATGTCTGAATGTTAAAATATTCATCATAATAGCGTTTTACATCAAAAACATAAAGTGCTTGCTGTAATATAGTTAAAATGAATTATTATGAAATTATATACAACATCACATTAAAAAATGTATAGTCGAGTACTAATAACACGAAATTCACAATATACGCTATAGGACACACAAGTCAAATCTTGAAAAATTGTTTGAGCTCAGCCTATTTTTTAAAGAATATACGCTTTTTCGGTTTTTTCTAGTTTATTCCTCAGCAATCCAATATTTGTCAATTCTTCCTATTAGATTGAAACAAATCTTATGGCTTTCTGTCTCCGTGGCCAGAAATAACGGTTTCGATCGTCGTCATCTTTTTGGGTCAAAAAAATAGGATGGTTATTATATCTAATATTTGCTATCAAGTGTTAGTAATCGCCCGTTTATCGATATGAGGTACTGGTAAGCAAATGTATATGTGTTGTGTATAATAATAAATATTATTTGATTTAATATGCAAAAACTGTCTCAACGCCAAAATCGAAAAATACTACGTATACGCTCTTATTTAATAATTAGGTTATACGCTGCCACTGTTCTTCACTTAAAACATAGACTGAGTGTGTCTAGGAAATTTAAACAACACGCAAATCACAATAAAATGACTTTGTTGGCTTCCTTCCAGGACACTGCATTAGATGATCGCAGTACATTGTTATTCATTTAGTGTACTTTTGTTTTCGAGTTGTTTTTGTATACATTTATAGTACTACCGGCTGTCCGGGTATGTCCAGATCCGAAATTACCGTATAAACTGTATTATTAGAAGAAAAAAAAAATCGCGTTCCGTATAATTATGGATTTTAAATTAAATCGTATCAGATTTATGTGGTTTATACTGAAATGTATGCTTTCAGTCCACATAAGGTAGTAAAAAATTGTCGGTGCAGGCCAAGACAGTATGATATTGTCAAAAACAAAAATTACGTAGTTTTTATAGATACACATTAGGCAGGAACAGTAAAATCAAGTAAATCTTTGTTTATTGATGATTACGAGGTATTAAAAAAAAATATATTAATCATCATGGCTCACAGCACAAATGGTCACACTTATTAAATTCTTATAAATTATATTAAAAATATATATAATTAACCAATCTAATAAATCACATATAATATAATTATATTTAATAATATTATATAAGTAATTTGCTATTTATAGCTGTTGTTTATTCATTTTGTTATGCACAACTTAATAAACTATATTTGTCCCAATTTAAAAATTTGTGTGAGTGTGTGTATGTGTGTGTGTATCATTAGATTATCAATTCAAATGTATAAAAAATTAAAAATATATAAAATGTCGTTAAAAGATGATTATAAAAATAAAAATTTAATTTAACTTTAATAAATTTAATTTATTCCAAATACTTCAATTAAAAATATTAATGAATTCATTAAACTTTAGAAGACCGCATAGTTATTAAACCACCAAGCTAATATTTATAATTTAACCATCGAAATTTTCAAAAAATACAATTACAAATATAATTATAATCATTGAAAAATGTTGGTAGAACTACGTATTTAAAAATTTCAAAATCATAATAAAAACATAAAAGCAGTAAAAAAAAAAAAGAAACACGTTTGTTTAATTTTTCAGATTAATGATCCATAATCATTAAAAAACCACATGCATACGATATAAGATACACCCCAGATGGACATCCCAAAAATCCATACAAAACATTATTGAGCCCGGTGACCCGGAAATAATAACATCTAAAAAAATAATAAATACATATTTAAAATCAAAAACTTAATTTAATATTACCGTATATTAGGAACAAAACATTGGTTAATTGTTGTAGTAGCACCAATTATGCAACTTAAATAATAAGCTACAATATCGTTTTATTGTTGTGGCTTTGAAAACAATGATAATAAATAAATTGTTGATTACGGATACGGTAGTAACCAAAACTTATTTTGTACAAACCAATGACATATTATACTCGAACAATAATTCTAATTAAACAAATATTTTGGTATTATTTCCGTCAGCTATAAACACGCCGCGGCCACCGCGATCATAATATTATTATATATTATCATTTATTATTAAATAAAATTATAATTTATAAAGTATAAACCTACGCTATTATCGTATTGTCACATAAAATTGTATACACTATACTACTATGGACTATTATAGTAGTATAGTATATTGTTAATACTTTTATTATGATGTACAATTTCACTTTCGCATACCTGAGCGTGAAGTAATGAAAAAGTATATCCTCTCCAGGACATGTGTCGTCTGCATCTCGCTTATACACGCAGTCGCGGCCGGTGATATTATTTTGTCTAACGCCCATGTTTAGAGCATTTTGAATCAGTCCTCTACCTCTGCCATTCAGTGAGCCTAAGAAATTAAAAAAAAAAAAATTACAAGAATTTAAACACCATACACTTTATTGAAATAGTTTATACAAACACATACGTAGGTATTTAATAAAAATAATATACATTGCAGATTATCATAACATTTTTAATTTTGATTTATAAATATGAAATAGAATCATTACAAAAGAAAACAGTTTCTATTTTTTTATTTTTTTATAGTTCATAAAATAAAATGTATAATAATACTTAATTTTTTTTTTTTTTAATCCATTTCATAATTTTAGATAATTTATAATAATATATAGATCACAGAACCATCGAATAAATATTATATAAGTATTATATTATGAAATATTCGGGTATCTTAATTTCTTAATAATCCTCATTCTGAAAAACATTTATTTATTATAATATAGATTATCAAAATATCATCGAAGATAAGTAAATTCATTGGTGGATATTTATTTGAAAAACTTATTAAAATTGATTAAAAAATCGTGAATGATATTGATGACCATCTTATATAAAAATGTTATACGAGACAACTATGAATAAATAAACGAACCCAGCGAATCCAGATAGATCATAAAACGCTGAGTTGGTCTTCGACAAAATCCAGATTATCCGGATATTTTCAGATTTCATTCCTGCTTCCATTTCTTAGAACGTATAAGTTTTGTTTTATTCGTGAACAAAAATGAATAATATACATATTCGCTAATATAATAATATTGTGATCATGAATAACATTATATTTTAGACAAAGAGTGTACATAACGTCCATATGGTATAAATAATGATTGTTTAAAAAGAAAATCAAATAATTCTCTCTATTATATTACGTCAAATTCAATTATAAGTACCTACACGACGTATATGTATGTAGGATTATCAAATCATATTATATTGTACCATAATATTATGATGAAACGACTAATAAAACACATATTATATACGTATTGTCATTAGCCGAACAAAGGTAGGTACATAAAACGCTTGCGCATGGAAACAATTTGCGATATTTAGTGGACTGGAAAACACAATAATAACGGCTGTTGCAGACTTCGGTCCCCGCATAGAACCGCACGTCGCATACCACGGTATATAATGTTATATGATTATTGCTGTGTTCTAGGTAAAAGCGAAACCATTAGACCGAGTCATCATTTTAAACCGTTGCCGTAAAAAAAATCCTAAAACTAAAACCGTGATCCGACTGTACATCAAGGGTGTACCTTATAATATACACCCGCAAACAGGAGTTTACCAATTGCGCTTAATATTACTATTTTATATACCAATTGCGCTCGAAACATTTTAAAATACTTAATGAAAACATATTAGTTAGCTATAATTATATAATAAATTAATACACACATCGATTATAATTAGATTTTAAAAGCACCGTTTCATTTTCATCAGTTAATACATTTAAGGACATAATTTAACTGTACACCTCCACTTAATTCCATTTTTTGATTTAATACATTTTAAAAACTTAAAATCATTGAATAGTAACAACTGTTTACCTTTTCACTAAGAGCTTGCTTATAAAAATTCATGTTGTAATGTCAAACAACTCAAACTAATACTAAAAAATAATATATAAGTACCGGCTATATCATCAATTTGTTATCCTATATAGTACAGTATATATATTGTGCAATGAAACAATTAGGCTGATGAATATCCAACGATAATGAAAAATTATTTTCGTCCATCACTCAAATTCATACTTGTATTACTTGTATGATCAAATGTGCGTAATAATAATAATATTTTGTAAAATCCCCGATACTATTATAAAATATATTATAATCAGTCACTTAAACTAGTAATCAATTAATCAATAAACAATTGGTACACGCCCCCACAAACATCTATCATATTAAAATGTATGATTTTGATATAAAATTAACGGACCTTCTTTTTATTCATAATACACTTATGATATAATATTATTTTATAGAAACGTCGATAGTGATTGATGTGTGAATATTCGTTGGATTAATAATATGGCCGCCAAGTATATATGCGCTCATAATACAAGTATTTTGTGAAACCCAAATTTGTATATTGACATTGAAAATACTTATTTATTTTTTTTATTGTTGATTTATATCAAATAAAAACTCATACGTCTACCAGTGTTTTTAGATTTCGTATTATATAGTCACATGATCGTTAACATTTAATAAAATAGTTAAATATATTAAGAAATTTTTTTCAAAATATAAAGCCATGTTTCATAACAACCAATGAAGTTTTCAATTTGTAGATTTAAAAACCTACATTATCATCGGTTAATATGTCAAAATTATTTAAAATTCATAATTATTTATGTCGATTTCATTTTTTTTTCTCTTAAAAATAACCAATAATATATATTTTTTTTAAATGATTTTGTTATTACTATAATATACTATATGCTTTTAATTAATAATATCATTTTTTTTTTCAAATACACAAAATAAATATTTATTTATCACTTAAGTTGTAGTTTTTATATTTTGTTTTTGAAAATGTATGCATATCTTGCAATTTCTCTCGCACACTTTTTATATTTTTTATGCATACCTAAATATGTGCATAATTTACAAATTTCGCATAAATCCAAGCTTTTATATTCAACATTTTTTTTATTGTTATTAACCATTAACCAAATAATGCATTTTTAACGATTTCCAGTTCGCCTGGTTTTTCACAAAGTTAGGTTAGGTGTCTACTATCTATTATACTCGTATTCGATTTAAGCTTTATTTCATCGACGAAATATCGACGGCAGTATAGATACATGTACAACACCACAGTGAATGGTATTATTGCAGTAAATATAAAAATATTATTGACTTTTGACGCTCCTTAAAGTTTTCTCGCCACAAATATGGTTTTAGTTTTGTGTATCTTTTCAGAAGATCTTATATCTTTTCTTTTGTGAACGACGGCGCTTCGAAAACTTGAGCTTAGTTGCCTTCGCGTTTAATACCGTTATATTATATCGAGGAAAAAACTAATAATAATAAATAAAATATATATATAAGCACGACAGCGTTAGCATTGTCCGTATGTTTTGTATATTTTCAATTCGATATAATCTTTTGCGGAAAATGTAATCGGAATTAAAATCTTCCAACGGAACACGTATTGCTGTGCGTGCGTTCATCTCATTGTTTTGATACGATATTATTATACTTGTATAATGTATACGCCTTGTATTATATTGATTTTTTCACAAACTATTCTATTCCTACCATTATCAGACAGCTATTACTATATTTGAGAAATTATTTTTATTTTCTGTTGATTGATTGAAGTTGATTTGATTTTCATATCATCGGTGAATGGTGATGATCACAATAAATTTAATGTAGTGCCGTAATTAACAACTACTTTTAATATTTTTAAATTATTTAACATAATTTGACAAACAATTAAGATTTTTGTTAACTTTTCTAATTTTCTCTTCATTAACAGCACAAATAAACAAATAAAAATAAAAAAATCTACAATAGATAATATGAAGTGAGTAATCTTCTGATAACTCAGAAAATGGTTAACGATAAATATGTAGTCAAATATATAGGCGTTCAAAATGTCAGAAAGTCAAAATGTTTAATAAAACTGAAATATAAACTAACAATAATGTATTCTACGACAATAAAGTATTATTGGGAATTTTTTAGATCCATTTAATCCAATACTTTACTAGTAACATATTACACAATGTGTGTGTATATATATATATATATATATATATATAAGTTCACAATGTTAGTATATCACATGCGTTTTATAGTAATGACTTAATGACATTTGAAAAACTTTTCTCGTTCAAAGCACTCTCGCCAAACTGAATTAAGTCACAATTTACGATAAAACGAATTAATATATTATTTCCTTTGAGTATTAAGTTATACAATAAAGTTAAAATTCTGTATTTCTGTAAACGAGACAATGAGTTAAATGAAAGCAATGAACTCGCTTCCTCGTAGGATATAGTACAACGTTTTATGTTTATTTCAAAATATATATCACATACTTAAGCGATTTCATTTTTTTCAACGTCTAAGATTCTTTTGAAAAATTGTTCTATTTGTTTGTTCATAGCATCATAGAAATGAATAAAATTGAATTTATTTATTTCATCTGATAAAATCTATCATACATTTTATTGCACTTATATTAAATTAACTTTCTCTTAATTCGAGTAGATTACCCGTATATGCAAAATAATGTTACAAATCCGACTATCTGTTAATATATTTTTTAATGCAGCCATGCAGGTAAATTAATATAATGGATATATTGTTTAAATGATGTATACAATTACTAATTTAATTTAATTTCAGCTATCAATAAATTGTATATATTTGTGAGTAACTCTATAATTATATTATGTTTGCAACTTAATAGTACATTCATTCACTAATTGATTTTAATTAGCGTTTACTAAGTGTTTATGTTAGATTTTTTTCTCATAATGATGATGTATTTTAAAAATATTAGTTAATAGAAGTAGAATATTGAGTACATACTTAAACTTCAATTTTTTTTTTTATTTTTTTATGTATAATAGTTGAGTAACGACAATAAAAACATAATTTTATAAATATTACGTGTTTTCTTTAAAGATAGGCTAATAATGTAATTAAATAAATAGTTCATAGTTATTTATTGAATGTATAATAAACTATAATAACAACAATTATCTTACTACCTTAACAGTAAAAAAATTAAATGAGTAGGTAACGAAAACCTTCCAGTCGTTATGTATCATTATTTTAAGTATGTTTAGTCTTTTTAACATATATTAATTTTTGTTATCATATAAATATATACAATAATTTCGAAATATTAAATTATCCAACGACGATTGAAACGAAAAGTAAGCAATTATATAATTAAAGAAAATAATTATATTCCTACGATAAGAAAAAATTTAAAATAAGGTTGCGTGTAGACAAATTATTTACCTCTAAAAAGTAAACCAGTTTGACTAAGTGTTTTTCATTTTATGTTTTATAGAATATACAGTATTATATGATCTTGTACTTGAAATTTTTCCTTCTATATAATATTGAGGACTGTTGAAGATTTTTCACACTGTTTAGGTATGAGGACAAGGCATTTTAAGTTTCAACTTATGAAAACTATTAGTAGACTATAATATGTTTAAAATTTAAATGGCAATAATTTTCAGTAAAAATGATAAGTTGAAAATTACTTAATTTAAAAACTAAAATAATGTTATTGTATAACTCATCGGAAAAATGATAATAATATTTATTAAATTTAATCTGTTATTAAAATAAATAAACTTTTCGTTTTAATTTGACACTATATAATTTAGGCAGACAATAAACACAATGGTTATTGAGATATTATTTGTATTACATAAACTTGTACAAAGAATAATATTCAAACATAATTATTTTTTTACACTATCTAATATTTTATATGAGACATATTTATATAGATATTAATAATAATATGACGATAATTATGAAAGATTCCATATCTCTATCGTACAGTTTTTACAATATTATTTGAAACTTACGTATTTACCATATTTTTTAATAATTTCTATTCTATCATTGATTCTAATTTTACCAGTCTATACCATAGCACGTGTTTTACCCGTACATTTTATTGAAATAAGTTAAGTAGGATCTGGTGAAATATATTTTATTAATGTAATCATATAAAAAACTGGAAAAAAGAAAAATAATATTATTTTTCAAGACAATAATGAATCCCCGCCACAGCTGTTACAAGAATGAAAAACCAAAAAATCAACGATGAAAAACATAAATTTCCACGACCAGTCGTTGACATTAAGACGATCAGTTTTCAAACGTATAACTAATGATTTACGCTTATTTTTTTCACTTCTCATTTTTAAATTGTCATAATTCAAGTTTAAAAATTAAAAGTCTTAAAACTTGAGAGTCCGTAGGCAAAGCACTAAAGTTCCATAACGGTAAATAAAACATTGTCTATCAAAAGACTCGACGTGTATATTTTATAAATGGATGCCACACTGAAATTTCAAAAATGTATCAAAATCACATGAGGTATAAATTATAAGTAATAAACCATTTCATTTGTATTTTTTATTTTGTATTTCAACTATTTATATTAGATCATACGCAAAATACACTATTCTCAATCCTTTTAATATAATATTATGTCAATAATGATAAATTAATTTCGGTAAGATACTTTAACTTTAAATTTTTAATATTTAAATAAACATTGTTATTATATTTTTATTTTCAAATAATAGAACTAAAAAAAAAAATTAAATATATATTTATGTATCTGTACATGTATATTATAATAATACATTTTAATAGTACATTACGTATCTGCTATCAAATACACAATTAACACATTTTCGTATTATACTAGTTATATATTATATTCCATTCAATTTTAGTCTTAGTAATAAATGTAATAACTTAGTAATGGATCATGGTTAGAAAATGTTGTAGAAAGCATACATAATAATATGTTAAACATCCAAAAGTATAATTTTAGATGTTGATTGCCGTTATATATACAGTGAAAATTCTATTAAACTACACTGCTAAATGTTATTAAAAACAGTGAAATACTCACAGTACACTTCTATTATATATATACTTCAAAAGAATCTTTCGACTAGGTAATATTTTTATTATTATTTTTTGTTTCAGTTAAAAATTTTCAACAAAATATGTACAAAAATATTATGGTTATGACATCTTAAACTGATCTCAAAGAAAGCCTATTTCAAATAAAAAACAAATAATTATTTTATAGTTATATTTTATAAACATACATATAGTATAAGTATGTTAAAAACATAAATATTTTTAAATTAAACTTTTATTCATTCTAAATGGAATTATTTTTCGGGTGTATCATAAAAAATCTACAATTTAATCGAGTTTGATTTTGAAAAAATTAAGCTTTTTTGGTTTTTTCTAATTATTTATTGCTATTAATCAAATAAATTTAAAAAATAAATATTTGTTTGATAAATTGTGTTTTTATAATATCAAAAATTATACTTGTTTAACAATAAACTTTCAAATTTCAAGCAATGAAAAAAAAATGATTTAATTTTGGGGTGATATGTTATGTGACGTATAAAACACCATCAATATACATAGGTTTAAGACTATTGTATTTTTATGTAATGCGCATAGAAATATCATTATTTATATTGGTAGGTACTTACCAGATGTAATAGACGCATATAATATGCAAAAGAAGCCAATTTCGTAGACGACAATCGCGCCGGACTCGCCAATCTGTTTCATGACGTTAATACAATAATAAACTTTATATTAAATTTCGTTGAAAAATTACTGGCAATCGTTTCTGATTGGAATTTAACAATGTTTTTGAAGAAAAAATATATTATGAACATCCGTGCTCTTCTTCAGCGACTCGTGCACGCTTATATAACTACTGATATATAAGAGGAATAGCATAAATAACATCAACGACAGAACTATTATGATATCGTAGACGAACGTACGAAAAATAACGATTATATTATCACAAAGTTATTGTTAGAGTAGTGAGCGTAGTATTGAATACGCGAGTGACAGTTGCGGCGGAGGAACCGCATATAAGTAACTGCATATTCCGCGTGCGTGTGGTGGAGGGGAAGGAAACTAGTATTTGATAAATCATTGTATTATTATTATGGCCCACTCCAGCACTCCAGCAATTAATTATTAGAATTTACAAAAACTACCTATGGTGACCTGCGGTAATTTGCAATGTATACCCCACCCCATGCCGTCTCGAAAAAACTTAATAAGTGGTTAGGCCGGTTACACTTGGTTACCCGTCTAGGCACTACTGATTATAAATATTTATAATGGTAATATTAATTTTGTTATGATATTTTTATCGTCTCTATAGTAATTTTATAACTAATAAAAACCTTATGGTCGATTTTTAAAAAAAAAACAAATTTAACAATTTAATAAAGTAATTATTGCAATTATACTTACGCATACGCATTATATTTTCAGTACACTATGAAAACTGTTTATAACTGATGATATTACAACTTAACAAATGATTCATAATGTATCTAATAAACACGTATAAGAAAATTAAGATATTAAAATATTAATTTTAAGGTATATTATATTAAAATATTCAATGCTATCAAAACTGTGTAAAAATATATTTACAGAAAAATATAATAATTTAACTTGTTAAAAAATTAATACAAAGAAATAAATCAATTAAAAGAGATACAAAAATGCGTAAAATTAAAAAAAAATATCTACAACATTAATTATTTTATCATAACGTAATTTTTCGATATTAAATTAAAATCAAAAACGTCCAGTACAATACAATAACATACTCAATAAGAAAGTACATTTAACACCTATAAACAGAAAAAAGAACACCCCGATTTCTTTTTCCCTTTTAACATGCACTAAATGCTAAAGTTTGCAAACTTTTTGCATCCAATTAGCTATCGGTAACAATTGTTGTAAATGAGAAAGTGTAATAAAGAAGGGACGACATCAAAACTTTACCTGCAGTTTCAAAACTCTAAACACGTATCTGTCTATAGTGATGTACTCGTATGTTTTGATTAGGTAAGGGAAAATCTTAGTAGGTGTAAATGTATAGTATTATCATCTACCTTTTATAAATTGATTGTAATCAGCCAAAGTGGGAAGTAAATAATCCAACTAATTTTTATATGTAGGAAATTCTGAAGCTTTATTGAAAATAAATTTATAGATACCGGCTTTAATGATTTTTAATTTAAAAATATAATAAACTATAAAAAAAAAAAAAAAAAACAAGAGCACTTTTTAATGTTTAATATATAATATATTTTATAACCTACATATTTTTTAAGGATCAAACTCTAGTCTCTAAGCTTATTTTTAGTCTCTTTCCCACTTAATAATATATTGGTTTTGTAATTTAATTTAATGATTTAAAAATAAGTATATATGCTTCCTATTTTTTATTAAAATTCTAGCAGCCTGTGCCTTTAAATATAAATAAATAAATAAAAATATTTTTATTAGTTGATTTAAAACTATAGCTGCGTGATTTTGTGACTAATACAAAAATTGATTTTTACATTTTAATACGTATTAAAAACCGTAATAGGTAAATTATATTTGATTATATTTCATCTTTCAAAATTAAAAGTAAACAAAATAAATTAGTTAATTGAAATGAAAAATAAATAAATTTTTAGAGGGTATATTGGGGAATATTTCATCTTAGATACACTTTTTTTAGCTTACCGAAATGACATGATAGTCATAGTATAAGAATAAATTAAATAATTTTTATCTAGACAAATATTCATCTAGATCTAGATACTACTCAACGCTGGTATAAAACACCACACTAGGGGCTTAGGAATCCTGATTACGTAATATCGCCCGCGTTCATGCAAAACGTTACAAATCCAAAATATGTATTTTAAAGATAATGTAAAAACTTTCTAAAACAGGTGAACTTTACAACTTAAATTATTCTTTGTTTACGCGTTTTGTCTAAGTGGAAATATTTAGTGTACCTACCATATTATAATACGAACGATATGGCAGAACTAATAGACACTCGTGTTTTTATTTTTCTTAATATATAATATTACCTATAGGTATCAATTTCAAGAACCGAATTTTTTGGACTTGGAATACTTTACGTGATCGGGGACGACATAGGTTCGCGTGTGCGTGGGTACAGTTATATTTTGTCCGTCGTTACAATAATGATATATACACATTTTTTGTTATTGTTGTTTGCTATTCGACGCTCGTATACACATATAAATCTATATTCCTATTCGGTGTGGACTATTGACACACAAAATGCGTGCTTACCTTCATAACAATATTATAAATGTTATTGTAATACGTGTAGTTTGTACAGTTATCTATGATGCATATATTACATACTGTATAGAATATATGGACGATGAGGAATTTAAAGCACCATGACGACGATTGCAGCTAATGTGTAATAAAATACTATACTTAAATAATACAATATTATACAGGAACAGGGATAGCCTGTTCCACCGAGATACCGGGAGGTTCACGGTGGCCTAGCCTATTAGGATTTGTTGTTGACCTGACAACATTATTTTTTTAAATAATATGGTGGTTTTTAATTTCTTTGTGCTAAAAAAAAATGTACTGATAATAATAAGCTATACCACAATGAAAAAATTCTGATTCGAACACCCGTAGACTGTAATATAATTAGTTATTAGTTTATTATTAATAATAATAACTAGAATAAAATTGTTCATTTAACATGAGTATTTTGGAACGTATAAACACGTTATTATTTATTAATATTGTGTATGTGGGGTTTTATCGATTCCACCAGATATTTTTCTACATTGATTTTGCCGAGTATTTGTTGATGTTGGTTGTATAAAGTATATTTTTAATTAACAGTATAGGCACACCCAATTAACTATAATTTTATTTTATATTTTTTTATAAATAAAAACATTTTAAAAAAAATTCATTGTCGTCCACAACAAAAAAATTAACACAAGTATACGAGTACATACTGAATTATAGAAAAAAAGTAATTAAATACAATGTAAGTTGATTTAGTTTTTAAAATAGTAGTTTGTTGCCAGTTCCAGTTTTACACAAGTTAATCTATCATTTTTTTTTTTTTTTTATTTGAATAATTGTTAAAAGTGTTTGTTACATTATTTTTTTTTTTATTTCATATATTTTTTTTTTTTTGCTTATTTATTATTATAATTTAATAAATGGTTAATTTAAGTGCTTTGAAATTAAATTAAGATAAACAGTTTCGCTACAGTATTGATACTGATTGAAATTCTATTTTTTATTTTTTTTTTTGTAATGTCCTCTTACATAATATAATATAAACTAAGAGGTTATATCATAAATAACTAATTATAAAACAAATTGGTAGTGTTTAAGGGGAGGGGGAGGATAGAGCATAAGTTCAATCCCCCCTAGTAAGGCCAATGTCGTAAATAAAAATATATGGCCTAGGTAATACATTTACCAGTCTGAATTTTTATCCCAGGCCGTCCCTGTACAGAGTGACGACGATATTTTAACCTGATACAGATTAATCATTTTGCGCACTATAATTTTTAAAAAACAATCTAAATTTTTTAATACTTTCTGACTTCTGCAGTGCCTTTGGTTGTATTCTCGTACACAAAATTTTGTTTTTATTTTATATAAACATTTTGACGCAAAATAGTGGGACATTGTTGGCTAAAATTTTGTTGCAGTACATGTACACAAATAATGGCCAGGGATATTCTTGTTCTCCGTGTTATTTGTTCTATCCAAGTTTTATATATTTATCTACAAACAAAACGATCATTGCTTCAACATTAGATACTTACATATTTTTCATATTTTCCAAACAGTTCTTCTCTGTTTATTAAATATTAACTATAGATTTCCATTTATAAAGAACCTAACGATAGCGATGAATAAAGTTATAGTGTAACAAATTGAACCAGGGACAATCTGTTTGATAAAATATACTGTGAACCGATCTGGCTGAACTTACGTTTAACTGGAATAAATTATCGATTTAAATAATTATTTATACATACATCAAATAAACATCTGTATTTATATTATATGGCAATAGTATAATATATTCTTTAATATCCGGTTAAAATTATTGAGTGCATTAAAAACAAACAGAAAAAAAATACATATTACGTTAACAACATTATAAACAGATAGTTTGCGATACAATGACAAGCAGTACACCGCGCACGTACATAATATTATATTAAAATATGAACAATCATATTGATAAATAAAATATTATTGAACGTCACTTTTATCCGCGCGATTTAATTACCATTACCACATTATTATGGGTACAATATATTATAATATTATATCATCACACGCGGTAACATATCGTAAAATCATTGTCGTGAAATATTGTTGAAATACACGTGGTAATGAAGCATAAAAAGTATTATTGTCGTTATTGTTCGATTTGCTTGGTCACGGTAGTGGTGATTGTAGGCCCAGTGGACGACCAACTCTCCTCGAACGATTCCTCAGATGAAAACTGTTGCGACGATGACATGACCGTCTTCTTTTTCACGCCACCGTTGGCCAGTTTCTCCACAGTTTCGGACACCGATTTGGTCGATTCCTCTGACTGTACGCTCTTAGCTTTCTGCTCCAAATGCGAGTTGGCCGTGTCTTTGGTCACCTGTAATATAGAGTAATAACTTCAGAACAAAAAAAAAATCTTCCAAATATCAATATATTAAAAATATTATTTTGACATTATTCTTTTGCTTTACGTTTACTCGAAATAAAGTAAGAAGTTTCTCAAAAAATTAAAGATAACTCAACAATTATTTTTTTTATTTCAAAAGTGAATTGATTCGTTCATATTGAATATTAAAAATAGCTATGGAAAACAAAAGAAATTATAATATTAAGATAGAGATATTTTTCGAGCACTTAAAGTATTTTTTTTTTCTTTTACTGCAAACGCATATTTTATACAGAAATACACTATCGTTCATCATATTTTTGGATAAATTAAACTTAAATATTAACACGATGTGTCAATCATATAAAATTGCATAAATCTTTCAGCAAGTCTTAAGAACTAAATATAAAAAATTAACGAATCAATAATATATGATTTCAAAATACACACACACTATATAGGCTATTCGCTTGAAGTATACTACACATATAATCAGTATAATATAAAAATGTAATAGATTAAATTTATGATTATATTTTTCAAATAATGATAAGTTCAACATCTTCTAAAACTATAATCTTTTGAATATTAAAATTAATATTTCAAAAATTAATTAAAAGAATGTTAGTCTTTTCAAAATTTTCAAATAAAAAGCATTTACTAAATCATCTATTTATGATAAAAAAATGAATGGTTCTTGTTCGAAAAAAATATGTCACCATTATCACTCTTTAAAAAGCATTAAAAATTGTATTTTAAAAATTACGATATTAAATTTATTTAAAATTTCCAAAATTCAGAATTAAAATAAATCTATTATTAGAATATAAAATGGAGGTGAGCATGCTTGAAAAATTACACCATACATAACATTTCTGTCATGGTATATGTAATTAAAACAAATATATATTTTGTTTTTATTTTTCTATAAGATAATGTCTGTAATTTTATTTGTTTGAACTTTATCTTCAGTTAACCAACACGAACTTAAATTTAATGAGTTACAATAGCAAGTAAAAGATAAGTATCTAACCAGACAACCAGTTAACCTATATACAATACTCAAATTATACATTTAAAATTTATAAATGTATTGGCTAATTTATTATAAATCAAAAAGTAAATTTGGTTTTTAAATAAACATTATATACGTATTGTATTAATTTCTAAGCTTAACTTTTAAATTAATAATTAATGTGAAAAAGCAATACATTTTACAACGCTGATTTATTTTATTTAGAGAAAAAAAACTTTGTTTATTTTTTCAATACTCAAATAAACAGTTTATGTTTTTGATCTGAAACTTTGAACTTAAAATCGAAATAAATTGGTGTAGTCATTTATTTAAGAAGTAAAATAATATATTTGTTTTTAAAATGTATAGAAAAATATGAATAATAATTTATTATCGGTGCCCACTTAATAAAAATTAAAAGCAATAAAAATATGACAATAATTGGAAAAAGTAATAGTATAATGTATTTCTATATATTTTTATTAGCCGTAATTAATTGTTCTAAAATTATTTCATAACTTCATATATTATTCACTAAAAAAAAAAAAAAATATTTTCCAAACTCTACATCATTGTAATATGGGGTTCGTTATAATCACACATTTTTTTAAAAAGGTCGTCGTTCAAATCCACACTTTTTTATGCACTAATTCCATATAGATTTTCTAAAATTAAACCCACCAATAGCGTACACTTTTATTTAAAATCACATTATCATTTATAACCGCCATCAATTAATCGTATTAAAAAAAAAAAATCGCAAAATCATAAGCATTGCTATTAATTAAATAAAATATTTGAAAACACTAGGATGCAAATTTATTCTAATCTAAGTATTATTTAATATACATGTTAATTCTATCTTATAATCAAATTATTTTTTAAATACTGTTATTTTTAATTAATATTAAAACTATAAAATTTCATACATTAAATTATTTTTACATTTATTTGTTCAATAACATTAAAATATGTTTGATTTATAACTGTCAATCAAATATGTGTGGTTTTGAATTATCGACCTCCTAAATTTTCCTTTTTAGCAATAAAAAAATAAATATTTATGGTATTGAATAGTCTAATATGTGCGGTTATGAATAATAACTATGTAGTTTTAACGACACTTTTATGACAAAAAATTATATTCATTTTTGATTTGGTGAAGAAAATAAAATTTATTCTGTGTAGTATGTATTACTGTAAGTAATATTAAATTATAATAATTTATATAAATCGTTAAAGATGATTTTTTTTGTAATAATACTTCTAACAACTAAAAAATAAATGTAAAATTGGATCTAGAATTTATTCTATCTATCATTATCATTATATATATATTATCATTTATTCTATAAATGATAATATGTTCATAAATTAAAATAGAACACAAAAACTATTTTCAATCTTTATAATATCTTTATTATTCTCTAAACCTATTGGATCAATTTTAAACTTATTATCGTCAATGAAAAAAGTCAAATAACTTTAAACATTTTTTTCGAAATCCAATTTAGATATATCAAGATTTAATTAAAAATATATAAACAAATAACAGGATAAAAAGATACTTTTCATAAGAAAAAAGTTAAGTTGATAAACAGGAAACTTCTTAGTACTTAAAATAATTTAATAATTTAATCCTTAAATAAATTTGAAAATTCTAAAGTTTAAAGTAAACATTTAGGATAAGGCTAATGGTGAATACCCTATAAATAGTTTTTTATTAATACAATATATAAAGCAAACACTTAAATTTATAAAATACTACTTAATTTTATCCCAAATAATTAAGTTGCACAATATAATTTCATAATGTGATACGGGTAATATATTATAATACCTACTATTATAATCATCTGAAGCATAAAATACATGTCTGATTTACATTTGGTATAAAACTTTGATGTTTTGGTTATCCAGGAAAATATTCAAAGTGAAAGTAATTAAATTAAGTTCTTATTTAATACTATCTAACATGTTTTTGAATGGATATCAAGTCAAGAAAAATAAATTAACAAAATAACCTCTAAGAATAAAAATAATCCCTGTACCTATAAGTGGCTATTTAATATTTATATAATATTTTATATACATAAACGTAATAACGGATAAATTAATAGATATATAGTTATAATTCATAAGACTATACTTTGCAGAGTCTTGTATTCAAAGTACTTAAAAAAATAAATAAAGAAGTTAGTATTGTCATAAGTTATACTCAATATAATTTATGAAGATATAGTAAGTATATTGGTACTCATTTATTTGAAAATATGGCTATTGAATAAACTTAAAAATGTCTAAAATCAGAATTAGAATAAATTCATTATAAAAGGGAAATACAGGTTGATGTTAATCACCCTGTATAAATTCATTTGATCTATTTTATAGTCATTAAATGTGTAGGTACACATATAGCCATACAGGGTTATTTATACCGATGTTGTATGAATAGTGGCGATCAGGTTTACCGAACGCTTGTTTTCCCACGATATTCAACTATATATAATATATATAAGAACGATTACGTACACAACATTTGGGTTTAGTGGCATCTGCGATGACGTTTTATTCGGCATTTTTGTATTACAGTTCTGCGATAAACCCGAAAACGCCATTCTGGCGAAGAGCAGGCGGTGGGTAATAGAAATGTCTCTTTACAGCATACTGCACAAGGTTGGTTTTATTTTAAACTTATACAAAAAGGGTATTAAGTGTCACCATAGGCGATTTTATTTTTTTCAATTGCTTCAACTATATATTTATATATAAATAAGACACTCTGTGCGCGTTGAAATGCTATTAAATTATGTTTATTTACGTATATAGATGTATTATATTTATCGAAATATCATTATTTTTTCCACCTGAAAACACTCAAAAATAGATCAAGTAAATTATGGCTCATATGTAATTACTATTATTATAGATGCAATCAGTTGCAACGAATACTAATTTCGAGTTTTTAACTGATCTCGAAGCACTATTATCACATGTCGTGACCATTTAATAATTTTTCAAAAGGGGAAAAGTTAGAAACAAATTGGCTACTTGTCATTTTGGATCATCGACCATGTGCCTATACCCCAAACCCTGGCGCACCATACAATTTTAGAATCAATTTAAGAACATCTGTAGTATTTAGCAATAATAATAATCAAATAAAACTAAAAAATTACAACACCAATAATAGGTAGAGATTAACTTACACTGAACGTTGTGACCTCTATCGAGTAGTATTGACAATGGTATTGGTGGTATAATATTATAATATATTACGGGATTTCTTTTTTCTACCGGTTTAAAAGTACCTATTAGAATTAGATAAATCGTTAATCACGCACGTGAACAATATTAAAACAAAAAACAATGTTTTATTTTACAAGCGTCATTACATATTTTTTTATAAAAATTAAATTATCGCAATGTCCTACCATATATTATACTGTAGATAAAGAGGTATGCGTGACATCAGCATCCTAATGTAAAAACTGGAATAACATTTTTTTTTTTTTTTTTTTACAGTCGAGCACCAATTGCTACCGCCATTAACAATGTATGGTTGTCCTCTTAGATTATTCCATTTTAATTTAAAAACCTAAGGGCATTTATATTAAGGTCACCACGCGTAAATAAGATGATTTAATATTTCAAGACCTATTCGAACAATTTGTGAATTTGTTTTGTATTTTCATTTTGTAATAAATTCTGATTATATTTTTAAGGAACGACTCCATGCAACGTGTTTACTCTTGTGTATATTATGTATACTGTATAGAAGTATCTCGTAAAACTCGGGAACGAGACAATAAGTTAGTGTATACAAAACAAATCAAAATAATATGCATTTTCGTCGTAAATAAACTTTTGAATGTTATCATAATAATAATTGAGATCACCCGGTTATCTGAAATTACTGTAATTTATTCACACGAATGTAGAAAATAACAAAAGCAATCAAAAATTTGATTTTTTAACAACGATAAAAAGAAAAAGAAGATAATATTATGTTTTATTATACCACGCATTATATTGTATTATTTTCGTCATATATTGAAAATGAATATACATTATACGTATATCATTTCTATTGATTTATATAATAATTGTTCGTTTTATGTTTTCGTATTTGTCTTTGGTTTTTGTGGAACGATAATATACATTTTTATATATATTTTTATTAAATACTTTTGTTTTTGGGACCGAATAAAGCGTGAATACATTTTTACAATACCATAAGCACGTCCATAGATACAATGTTATCTTTCCATATCGTTCTATTTATAACGACAATAATAATAATAATAATTTAATGCATAATTATTATGATGTTAGTAAAGTGGTGGTAATTCCACTAAGTAGGACCTACAACAATAATCAATTATTTTATTTTTAGCGTGAAAATTGTTCAGCAGTGAAAAACGATTACAAAGACGCCCAATTTTCGCATGATACAGACGTGATAACATTTTATTAAAATTATATGACATAGAAATGCTGATTTTTTTCAAAAATCTTTGAAAAGTTATTAAATTTTTGAAAATTTATTTTTTTTCTTTTACTGTAAACGACGCATAATAATATTACTTCACGAGTATAAGTGAATCGAAAAATTAAATTCTTCATTTTGTGGTTTTCGCTTAAAAAGTATTAAAATTGATTAACTTATAATATAGAATATAATATAATTTGTTTTTGTGAAATAAAGGGATTGAGTACTGATATTTGTTGTACTAATAGTTTACGTGTATAATATAGTGAAAACTATTACACACTTTGCGTCAAAAATTACGATCAATATAATATTATAAATTGTATAGAACAGATTTTAATTTAGCGTGAAATTTTCAAGAGATCAATCAAACAACTTTTTTAACTTTTACTCCCTAGTTTCCAAAAAGTTGATTTATAAAAGTTTAAAAATTGTTCAAAACATAGGTACTTATTTTATAAATTATCATTAAAAACAATAACTGAAATAAATTAAAAAAACTATCTTATCAACCTCATGTACACTTCATGTTCAATTCAAATCTGTTTTTATAATATTCATCACTTAACTACATCGTTAACAACAATATATTATATAATACTAATGGACGCAAAATGTCTATTTTTACCGAGCAGACGTGTGAACGACAAAGACAACAGAATATCGGTATAACATATGACGTACTTTCGGTTCCCTAAGTATACAAGGTACATTATCGGAATTCTTTTTTCTTACTATCAAAATTGATTTCCACACATACTGTTTACTTTTAGTTTATTATCGTGCCACAATAGTTAACATGAATTTGAAACTGAAACGTGTAAATAATTCAGAAAATAGATAATTAGTAAATTTATGAATTTTAGATTCGATTAATACAAATAAAAAATTTCGAAATGTAATTCTTAAAATTAAACAATATTAAAATTTTGGTTAATACTGTAGGTCAGTGGTCTCAAACATACGGCCCGCGGGTCGTGAACCCCTTCTATGTGGCCCGCAATAAAAATACATTTTGAACAAAAATATGAAAATAGTGCAGCTCAAAAATAAAAATTATCAAATATTCAAGCTATTTTTAAATTTTAATTATAATTTTATTTTAAGTTAACGATCATTATATTTTTTCAATGATAATTTTGTAGTAATAAAAAGTAAATAAATGGATTTTGTATATATTTTTGTCTCCATTTTGTCTTTAGTTTCTAGTGTATAAGTATAAAAGTGACACTTAAAATTTGGCCCGCGAATTTTTTTTGAAAAAATATATGGCCCGTAGGTTATTTGAGTTTGAGATCACTGCTGTAGGTAAATAACACAATTTAGCTCTTACACTAATTCTTTTCAGCTTTATTACAGTCCCGGGTTCAATTAACACATCATTGTAACTAGATTATTTTATTTCATGTTTAGTTGAAATTGCCTATACAGTATCCCTTAAATTTAATAAATGAATACATGCTTATCTTTACAGAACAGAATCATATTAATAATAATATTGTGCAGTGGACCTCCGTATGCATAATAATTTACCTCTTTGGTGCGTTCAGCCACTGAAGACGTCTCTTCGGTCGCCGTCACTGTTTGTTTTCCGGTATTGGGTTTCTTTTCGACCGTTTGAACTTCCATTATAATGATTAAGTATTATTATTATTTATAGGATAAGATTTTTTTTTTTTTTAATTTAATTTACAATTATAAAAAGAAGAAAAATATGTGTTTTAACTATTTTTATACAATGGCTCGCCGAGACGACTAAACAAAACACGGCGATGGTTCAGTCGTTCTTTTTATAAACACTACGTGCGACTGGCGGCAGTGGTTTTACTTCAACCACTTCTTCGTCGTCCTCGTCGTCTTCGTAATCGATTTCAATGTCGTCGTCAGATAACTCTTCACCGGAATCACTATAATCCCTTAAAAACAAATAAATAAAAACCTAGTATAAAAACGTGTCACGCAATATTTAATTATAATCGTTATTATTTTTAAATAGATACATAACTATACTATGACTTAAATCGATTGATAAACGAGTATGGACAGTGACGACAACATAGTACAATTAATTAATCTAGCAAACAACATTATGTAGTTAAATTTTTATACGGACATAACAATCGGAGATTTTCATAAAAATAATCCTTAAGCAGCAGTTATTGTGCTACAACGAATGTGGTCTGTGACGAGTCTTAACACTCTTAACACAATTGGAAAATAACCCATGAATAAGAAATCCCAAACGATGTTTACAATACGATAGAATAAGTAGTGAAAACTGAAAGTCCCAAAAATTTATGAATTTCAAGAACTCTAACACTGTTTGAATGTTGTGGCAGAGGTACATAAAAAAATATTTTAAAGGATTATGGTATATATTATGTAATATGAATCATGAATAATTTAAATATTTTTATACTATAGAAAATACTATTACAACAGTTAAATGATTGTTATTTGTTATGACTATTTATAATATTATTGCTATCATTATATGATGCTTGGTTTTTCAATATTCATGAACTCAAGTCTTGACCGTGGGTTCCCTTGAATCAACCATTCATATTTTTTTTCAACTCCAACTTAAAACCAGATCGAAGATTGAAAAGATCTAACAAATATGATGGGCAACACATACAAATAACTGTATCATTGGACTGTAGTAATGACTAATAACCATCAAGTATTAACTTAATCTCAAACGTGTACTCAAATATTGATAATCTATGTATTTATTTAAGAGTTCATTTATTTTTAATGTACATATTTAGGTATTACTGGTTATAATTTTATAAGCTGTACTTTAAAATAGTACAAAACTCACAGCAAAAACAAACTGTAAAAAATTATTGCCATCAAGTAGTACCTATTAATACATTTTTTTTTTTTATTTGTTTTTGCGTATTGTTATCTAAAAGTTTTATATCAATAGAAATATTTTGTTTGAAATAAAGTTATTTCGTCACTTTTTATTTTAAATTTTATAAACAATCACCTACCAAATTAATTTCTTGTTAATTCTTGTATTATTAAAATAATTGAATTCAAAACATAAAATACTAAAAATAAAAGAATTTATTTTATTAAGCTCTTTGTCGTGTTTATGTCTTCGTGATCTAGTCCTTTTACATTAAATCGGGTACTGATTATTACAATCAATCGAATTGGCATCACTATATATTCATATCACACTTTTTGTCATAACACATAACTTTTAAAATTTTATTGCGTCAATGAAATTTTTTTTTGAAAATTCAATAATCCAATACAAATTATTAAAATTATGTTAAATGTTATGGAAAACATTCATTGCATTTATTTTTGCTAACTGAATTGCATTGGTATTTATACTTAAAATCCTATAAAATCTTGGAAAATTCAAAATATATTTAATATATAATAATTAAATTTCCAATTATTGATTGTTCAAATTTAAAACACGTACGTACTTAACCTAATCTGAGTGATAGCATACAAAGCTCTTGGCAAATTTTCTGAAATTTAGATATGAGTGGATTGCAGTTATACAGGAATACCTTCCCCACAAATGTTGGTCCATTATACACCGCTCATTAATAATTTAATTAACACCTTATCATTAATATTTTGTCTAAATTTGATTTTTATGCATAAAAATACTCATGCTTAAGAAAATAAAATAAAAAATGTATGTCATCGTTAAAAAAAAGTAAAAAGTCCAAGGCTTGCAATTGAAAAAAAATAATGTGTTATACGTTATTTAAAATTAAAACGTTATACAAATGTTGAATTTATCGTTGTTCAGAATTTAAAAGTTATTAAACTTTTGCGTTTATCGTTATTCAGAATTAAAATTTTTAATACGTTTTAAAAATTATAATTATTAAATAATTGGAAATTAATTATTTCGTTTAATGATATATTATATATATAACATTTTTCGTTATGTTTTGTTTGATGATATATATCATATCTTTTTTGTGTTATTTAATTATTTATGTTTATCGTTTTCCATCCATTATAATTACGTTTACAAATTCCAATCGTTTTTTGTCAAATATAACGTTATTATAACGTTTGCAAGCCTTGGACTAAAAACTTTAAAAAATATTAATTAATTTCAAAAATATGATCTTGTAACGACTTAAATTGATATAAAAAGAAGAACATTTTCAAAAATATTAATAATATTTGAAATCATAAGTAGTGTACATTAAGCTAATCATCTTATATACATGCATGTTTGTTTATACAAAATATTAAATATTTTACATTAAAATATAACCTACATCGTATTTAGCTCATAGTAAAACGTGCGAGTTTTTCGTACTCAACATAGATATTAGGTGTATGTACCTATAGCAATAATACCTACTATATGTATAGTATAAATTTATTGGGTTAGTATAGCTACTATAGACAAATTCAAACGAAGACGACTGCAGCTGCTTTTGACCTCGACATTTATTAGCATGCACATATGCGAAAGCTACGATAAACACAAATAATAAACTGCGTAATAATTTAAAGAAAAATATACATGCAGCGTACGGAAAGGTTATTTTTTTTTTCTCGAATGTTGGGGACCATTAATCAGATAACTTTACTCAAGCGGTTTCACAAAAATATTAAAATAAATAAAATAATATTTTTGTTTTTGTTTTCGTTCTCTGTATAATATTACTCATACATATTATAGGTAATCTAGGCGTATAACTAAATCAATATTATAAACATATTATAAGTATACTTAAAACCAGGGACAAATACACAAAGCATAGGTATACCGTGAACAGTGTAAGCTCTTATTTTGTAATAAAGACAATAATAAGAAACTATAATACCGATATTTTGTTAAATCAATAGATAATTATAATCTTGATACCTATACGGAAAACTTCTAAAAATATATTATTGATTTTTATTATACAAACATTTATAAAAATGTATATGAAGTGAACAAAGTGTGTACAACTGTACTATTAACTGATTCAATGTTTATAATAAAGTATAAGCTTTTCTGTGATGCATATCAATAATTAACATTTGCATAATTGTATTGCGATTTAAATACCTATTTTTTAAAAGTTAGTTTAACTCAGGTAATATCTTAAGATATTGATTAAATTTTTTGAATTTTTTATATTGTACTTGCTTAAATATTAACTTTAAAATTAAGTGTAGTTTTCAAATGCTTTTTTTAAATAAGGGGTTAAAAGTTTTGATGTACAATACAATGTCTATTAAAAAAAAGTATTGAATAATATAGATACTGTTGAATGTAGGTTGAATGAAATTTTAATGTGAACCAAACTCTTTAAAATAATCATATTAATTCGTTAAAAATTATGCATTTGTTGTATTTAATTATAAAATTATAAGTCTTAAATATATTTCTGTATTATAATAAATATTATGAACTTTTTATTTAATAATTTAAAGTTAAATATAAAATAAAATAATATTTTTTTTTATACAAGTAGCTACCAAACAATATTTTAATTATTTTTTTAGTTAAAAATTAAAAAAGAAATTATTGAAAGTTGCTTAGATTTATATTTCCTGGGTTAAAAAATATTACCAACTTCCCTTTGTCTAAAACAAATTATTATGAAATTAAAAAATTAAACTGCGATTGTAATCATTTATTTATAAAATATATGCGTAATTTTAACTGGTTTAGTCACAAAGACAATAGATGAAATAAATCAAGACTTAAATCTAAATACCTAATTGGAATACTTATGCTGTTTATTCAAAAGAATCTGTAGTTTTTGTATTCTACACATTTATTTAAATAGCGTATAGAATACAAACAAAATGTGTTCTTTTCATGATTGCTTATACAAATATACAATATTTAGTTTCAATGTGAACCGTCATTACATTCTTTTGAGTATTTAAGCTATATTATAGCTCAATAATTTAAAAAAATAGTATAATGTCCCAGTATCCCTGTTTATAAATACTCGTCGACTATTTTATAGTTTTATATATCTGCACACAACACACTTAGATAATATGTTTGTTCAGTTCATAGGCTTTAAGCTTTAGTGAAGATCATTAAATTCAAATTAAACAAGACCGTTAAAAACAGAAATAATATGTCGGCGATCGTTCCTTTCAATTATTAATACAACGTATATCTAAATACAACTAAATAAAGCGAGTTATTAGTAACAAAAAAAAAAAAAAAAAAGTTATTCAAATCAATAAAAACAAAATATTTAAATATTTTAAAACTCATCAATTTTCTTCTTTTTTTTTCTAAATTGTTTTACACGAATAAAATTATAAATCTTTCGACATTACTTATATTTATATATATATCTATCTATATCTATATTAAATATTAGGTGTACGTAACAATTAGAATAAAATATATATTATTATAAAATCGACAACTACATTATTATCATGATCATAAAAAAATAAGCTCTCCGCGTACAATACATGTAACACCATATTATATTATATAGAAGAGGCAGCAGTAGCAGCAACAGTAATAATAACAATATTATATACAATGACTACTACTCAAATAAATTTTGTTATTATTATTATTATTATTATTATTATTATTATCGTGCGACGACGACGACAGGTAGAGGCCAAAAGCCTAACTGAAGGCGGTAGAGACAACGGCGACGACGACTTACAGCTGTTGGTCTTGAATGGATTCATGGTCGCGGTGTAGGAGTTGACCGCCGTGCGCCTGTTCGGCTGACAAAAAATCACCTACTGCATCTCCGGCGGTAGCATTACCTGTTGTTGCTCCCGGTGGTTTGACGTTTGTTTCACCTTTTTCCAGAGTCACAAAGTCCACTGCAGGCTCAAGGCCTTTACCCGAAATTTTGTTGTCTTCGTCTTCTTGAAACTTCACGTGTGCCACGGCTTTTCCCGGCGCCGCCGGTTTCAGTGCGTTTTTATCATCACTGTCAAATTTGACTTCTGGCTGACTAGTGTTGTCTTTGACCGAATCCGGAGCGGTAGCTGGGTCACCTTTAATCGTCGTCGATGACGACAACGGTGGAGGGGGTGGCGGCAGCACTGGTTTCACCGCCGTTCCTCTCTCGGCAATTTCGAACTCGGCCTTTGGCTTTGGCGGTGGTACGTCTCTGTCATCCCTCTCCACTATTTCAAACTCCGATGACTTGAACTTGGAATCATCCTTTTCAGGTGCCTCAGGTTTGGTGGACGGAGCTCCTTCCCTCTCACATACCTCGAATTCTGGCTTTAACTTGGCAGGAATCTCTGATTTTTTCGCGTTATCGATATCTATTTTCAGCTTTTCTTTTTCACTAGTTTCTTTCGGGACCTTTGGCGGCTCGGGTTTTTTTATTTCGTCTTTTGGTTTTGGCAGCACATCCGGTACTTTGACCTCTTCAATTTTGTTTGGCAAAACATTGGGTTTAATAGGTTCGTCATTTGTTACATTATTTTCGGGTTTTTTGGATACAATCGCTGCTTTCTTGTCTTCATCCTCTTCAACTTCGTCTTCATCTTCTAGTTCTATTTCCTCTCTTTCTTCATCTTCGTCGTCATCAAAAATCTCTTCGATATCGTCATCTTCTTCGTCTTTATTTTCGATCTTATCTTCATTGCCATCAACCTCGGCAGGTGGAATTACATCAGCCAAAACTTTTGGTTTGTCTGGTTTCTCCTCGGGGTAAGACGGACTGTCTTTGATCGATTCTGTAGAAACCTGAAAATACAAAAAAAGACGTTTATTTTTAATTTGAAATAGTTTTATAATTAAGTAGTGGAAAAAATAAAAAATAATGCAACAGCTGCTGCACCACATGGATGAATAAAACGAATGCCAAAAATTTCAAGTAGGTAAGCATTTATTACAGGCTATAAATTTATAAATTATTCTTAACTTTAAAAACTAACATATGTCTTCATTGGACAAATGCCCGGACTTAAAATTAATGTTTTGTTTTACACTACAATTATTTTTTTTGTTTTTTTTAGGAGGGGGAAGGGGGTGAGGTACCAAAGAGGCAGTTAAATCTTAAGTGCAAATAAAATACTGTATAAATTTAAAAATTTATAGCAAAAATAATATTGTAATTTTTTTTGTTATTTCAGTAAAAGGATATATAATATACAAATGTTTTTTAGAAAGTACCTATATAATAAGCCAAATAAGACAATTCTTATTATTTCCAAAATTAAAAATTAAATATAGAAAAGTTAAGTTTAAGTAGTTTAAACACAACATTTAATTTACTCAATTGTAATTTTTTTTTTTTTTTTTAATAAATAACAGAAAGTTACTTTATTAAATAATATTTAATATTTATAACTACAATTAATTGTAACATATTCATTTGCCATATATACGTTTAACGTTTTTCGCATGATTATTAGACAAATAAACATATCCACCGATTATTGTTTTCATTTTAACTCAATTATTTAATAATTCATCATAAATATTTATTAAATAAAAAAAAAAATAGAGACCAGAAAATTATTATCAATAATTAAATTAAACAAAATAATATGAAATGAATTAGACTTTAACTGAATAAGAAATATAATTGAAATGAAATCTAATCGAACGTTGAAATATAAGCAAAAGACTTTCAAGTATAATTTAAGTTTACATTATAGAAATATATAATATAAATATTAACTAGGTACACAAGAAGATATTATTATGATGTTACGACTTAAATGAGTTAACTTTGAAATTGGTATGACAAATAATATGAAACCAAACGAGATCAATAATTGGATAAAATAAATAATGTAACAACAAAAATAGAACTATTTTATTACATGTTAATCTTGTATCATCATTATAGGAAGTATAGTAAAGTCTCATCGACTACTCAAATGTCAAAGGAGATAAAAACTAATTTTACTTGTATTTTTTGAGTTATGTATAAACTTAAATATAGCTTATATAACATCAAAAAATAAAATTCAATTAGTATAAATAGTATTATGGAGTATACTACGAATAATATAATATTAACTATTTATCGTATATCTACCTATTTAATACTATTCGCGAATTACCTATTATTTGTAATTTCTATGTTCCCTATATAACATTATAACCTATAGGCACTCTACGTGTTACTACTAATACACATATTATACCCACGTCATACATTATGATATAATAATTTATCGTTTCTAATGTATTAATTTCCCTATGCACAACGATGGATGTATCATATTATTATAATTTTATTAAGTCAATCTATCTGATCTTTATATTGACTAAATCTTTTAACAAATTATTTCGGTTATATCGTCGCCGTCGCAGTAAGGACGGAAATTAAAAACCAAAAATAATTTTTTTAAGTAGGCGTGACAGTATCCGCTGAAGCTAGTACACCCCATAATAATAATATGAAAGTGATGAAAAAGTCGAAACTTCCTTTTAAGCCAACACGTGCATCTATGTGTGATATGACCGATCGACTAGGTGGATATAACAAGGTCATGATGTAATATAGCGTGGTCATAAACACAAAAATTGTTTAAGATCTACGTATGAAAAAAAAGAATAAATATTACTTAGTAAAACAAGTTATTTCTCACAGCTACAGAGAGGCGTTTTAAAATAGAACTACGGACTACAAAGTACAAACTAATAGTCTACGTAGGGCGATCTTAATTTACCAAGAATTCTCACTCACGTCTTTTCATTTAATAAAAAAATGTTATTCAAATTCTAATTTTTGAAATTTTTAAAAATATTTGAAGACTATATTTTCAATTATTTGAATTTTTCATACTATTTAAGAAGAGTTCTGTAACGATACAAATTTATTTTTATCAATTGACAATCAACTTGTTTTACTGTAAAATGTTAAGTAAATGATATTTTAGAAATGTCAGTGTATCTGATTCAAATATTAGGCAAGTAATTACTAAGTTATTAAGATGAATATAAATACAACACGATTAGTAAATCACCCAATTAATTTTGTAGTATTATATGGTTCAAGAAAAAAAATGATTAGACTTTCATGCAGATGGATGCGGACTAGGCCAGAAAAATAGGTACTTGTAGGCAACTAACACAACATTTATATTATTCTTTTCTTCTTTTAAATAAACAGTTTTTCATACTTATGGCCACATAGATACCTCACCTAATATTAAAATTTAAAACCGATACCTATTTCATCATGTATATTATTTGGCGACGTCAATGTCGTCAATTATTATATTATAAATCTAATAAAACGTTTTTAAGTTTAATAACTTTTTTTTCTTCAGTAAATTGAGCACTATAATAAGTAGCACATTGTAATAATAAAAAATAACATAATATGGTTTTGTAACATGTCATCCGATAATCTCTAAATGCTTATACGATAAGCTTTAGCGTTGAACGATATGTCATATATATATATATATAAACTGATACAGATACGTGCACTGAATATTAAACAACGTAGAAATAACGACTTTTCTGTAACTTATTCATTCGGCTTCACAATAAGCAAGTATACCTAATCTATAACATCCTAACTTAATATTATAAATATGGAACGAGAATCGATATAAATAATAATTAATATATTATAATATTTTTAATTTGTCGAAACTAATAAAAATAAATAATATATATACAAGTACATAATCTGAAACGTTTGTATAAATTCAATATATGAATAAAAGTAAACCACGTAAATAAATTAAGTAAACGTTTTTAAAACATACATATTTTTAATTGTGACTTCGAACGTGGATAATTATTATTTGTTATCATTGGTGTATACAGTAACAACGGTATATACACGCACGACACGAATCTCAATTGTTCTTGTATATACGTATTATTATTATTATTATACAATCGAACTTAAACAACGTTTCAAATATTATAATTACGAAGCATCTGGCAAAATATTACAAATATAATAAATAAAAAAAAGCTTACCTACTAATTTTTCGAAAAAAATAATTTAATATATAGGTATATTATTGCAATTTTAATTATTACATAGTTAGAATACGGTAAATTAACGAACATATCGTGTTATAAGCACTGTCATGCTGATGATTTTCAGGAGCCGAAAAATGATACGTCGCGTAAACACAATAAACATGACGATCAAGCGGCGTACAATAAATATTATTACTTGGATTTTTCAACGTCTGTGTCGGTCATTGATATTTGTGCGTAGAGAGGTAAGTACGTATATTTAAAAATATCACACCTATATATATACAAATAAAAACAAAAACAGGAGGTATTGACATCGAGGCCAGGCATAAAGTTAATTTAAAAATAACTTTTGCTCAACACGAAATCAGTTAATTTGAATTTAATTAAGTTTTTTAATTATTAGTTTCGTTTATGTAAGGACATTCTTGATAAATGTGTCACTTGGAAGTTGAAAGTCACATTTCAACCCTTTACTAAACAAAATCACAAAATCACCCTTATGAAAAGAAAATTAATTTAATTTAAGTTAAAGTCAATTTTTTCAACATAATTTATTATACATATATATACATTAAACTTAAATGAGATTGAACGAGATAAAATTATTCATCGACTTTCCAAGCCTTGATTTTTAAGCAAGCGCTGCGCATAATATAATATTTATATACACCATAATATATGAGTATATTAAGTACCGCCGTGCTATCGAGTATTACACGCGTGGACGCGCCAGAGATCTGATCGGAACTCAGAATGTCAAAAAATACTACTACAATATAGGTATAATATTTACAATGGCCATGTAATAAATAATTATTATTAGTCATACGGCGTCACACCGAAATAATATTTACGTCTAGATAATAGAAATAAAATAATGATTGTGTCTAGTAATTCAATAGCGTCATTCCTCCACCTCCACACAATAGCCGCCTAAAACGTTTACGTAGGCTACTAATGTTCTGATAACACTATCATCGTTAAACTATAATTTAAGTCCTATACTGGCCATCGTAATGGTAAATGAAAAGATATAAATTGTATTAAATAAAAGTTATTATACTGATGCACAATAGATAATAAGTAGTTACTTGTTATAGTAAGAATAGGTGTATAACAATAATTATTAACAACAGCGTTTGTGGATTCATCAAAATAATAATAACAATATAATAATTATATTGCACCTATACAAATCAATATAATAACGCGAGCAACGAATATCGTACAACCCAACCTAGCAGTGAGAAAAATACCTATACATTCAGTAGTTGAATAAAATTGTAAAAAATGAGCAAGAACTGAAAAAATATCCTTTTGAAAAATTAAGTGAGTTAAATTATTTAAAAAAAAAAAAAAGAAAGAGAAATGATACTCCTGATTAATAAAAAATATATTATATATCCATAATGAATATTAAAATTATTATTTATTTAACAATAACACCCAATATTTTTAACTATAATATTTATTTTTGTTTGATTTCTAATTGATTTTTTTGTTATTCTATACTTAAAAATATTTAATTTTTTTTAAACGATTCATAAGTTATAAAAAAAAATGCACAACTTCACCTTCTATATTTACATACTAACAACAATAACTAAGAAAGTGTTCGATAACGTTATCTGAAATATAATTCACGGAAAATGCTAAAAATCCATTTTTGTTTAAATTTTAAATAAATACAATTTTGATCAACTTAAGTTTTATTTTTTAACTTTGTACCCTATAGAGTGTGTTAAAATTATTAAAACAAATATTTGAATCTGGCGATAATTTAAATCCTTGCCACATAAAAGACATGCATATAATACGGTATTCACTGTGAAAAAGTTGAAAACTTGAAAAATGTCTAAGAACAAATAGTATTCCAATAATCTCCTCTATCTAAATGCTATCTCAATACGTGAATACGTGATTGCCCATCCGAAATATTTTATGGTACCTTGGAGAGTACATACACGCTGTATATATAAAATTATATAAACGTAGGCGTAACGATGTATAGTGTGTCCAAAATGAATATTTTGTTACGAGTACCAAACCCACGACTCAGAGATAATTCTATGCAATGGACAATCGAGAAAATATGAATCACGGTAAAACTATTTTCGATTGTACAGGTGAACGATACGCGGTAACGGCAATGGTTTAAATCTGAAGACAAACATTATAATATTACAAAATGATAACTATTGCAATTTTATAGAAGAACATTTTATAATATAATATTGTTCACATAATATACTATGTATATATAGCAGATACGAAGGTACAAAACAACGGCTGATAATTCGTATTTGACGGCTAGTGAATCGATGGCACGGTACAAACCTTGACAATTTTTTTTTGGGAGAAGTTTCACCAAATTTCAGCTGTCACGTTAACCTGCGTGTGTTTAACTCAAGGACGGCGCAACGACTGTTATAGACTGCACTACACTATAATACGCGTCGGTGTATGCGGTACACCATACATAATATTTAGGGTAATATTATATCTATATTTATACATGATAATAACGTGAGTCACGCTGCTCGTAGATGTTCTTTCGAGTGACTAACGTACGAGAGATCGAAAATATCTCGCGCTATCCATTTCCATACGGATATTTTATGGAGTTAATAACCTAATAATACACAATGCACAATTACGCCTGTCGATTCATGCGCCAAATGCAATGCGTTAGTCACCGCAGAGCTAAGAAATCAGTTATGGCATGTAGCTAGTAGGAAATGAACTTGCACGAACTTTGCGTGCAAACCTATCAAAATTTGCAGAGAAAAACATTAGGAATTTCGCTGTACTGTAGCAACTACGATATATAATATTAGTATTAAACAACTTTTAGGGTCGCATATCTACTCTAAAAATGTTACGTTACAGTACTTAAATAAGTATACACCTCGGTATACACTATACAGGTTGTATAAAAATTATATCGAAAAGATAAGTGTAACGCATGATATTTTCTTTATGAAAATTTTATTATTCATAATTTTACACTATAGAATAACAAAAATAGTCCGTATAGAATCTTTGTGGCGCTTATACAAATTGATACAATTAAAACCTTGAAGTTTTTTTTACACAAAATTCACATTCTCATTCGTTTCAAACTAATATTTATTTTACGATTTTTAAAACTGATTTACATGCGTGATACTTATATACATTTTATTTTTTTTTCTCTTTCAATATTCTAACCATCTATCTGATTAAGTTCATTTTATAATAGCAAAATAAATTTTGATGAAATAAAATTAATTTAAAAACCTGTTTTGATAAAACACTAAAGTTAACTCCAAGATTTTGAACTTAAAAACGATTATTTTTGGCGATAATTCGAAATATCATTCAATCATGAAACGTCTACATGGATATGTTCTTAAGACATTTAAACACATGAATAAAAAATAAAACTTATCGGCTTGAACACAACACTGATTGTATAACACTGCACAGTGCATAATATAGTACCGACGTTTATATATTACAACGATTTGCGTATACCGCCGATTGCATAACAGTTTAAACGGTCTCGTAGTCGTAAAGTAAAAAAGTAATAATATCAAGTACACACAAACTCAGTGCGATGATAAAAAGAATAGTAGAATAATAATTATTTTATACTTGGTGATATTTAATAATAAATAAAGGTAAAAATGTAATGTATATTTGTGCATATTAATTTATTATCACGATTATAAAATTAGATTTAAGACGTATTTTTTTCATATTGTTTTAAAATATGTTAACGATACAAATGCCATTCTACGACAACGATAAATAGAATAATTATAAATGATGGATAGGTAACGATCATAATATTATTATTATTTCGATGATGATGCAGGACGGGGTGAAAAAAAAAACAGTAAAATGTTGTTGCCCCACGTGTGTTGTCGAATTTCACGTTCTATAATAAAAACCGGCGACGGAGCTTTACAACACGAAATAGACACGTCTATAAATAGAGATGATGTCGCAATCAGGCGCGTCATTTGTCTGCGGGCTATGTTTGCTGTATGGTTATATTATGCCGATTATAAGTTACGTATATCATACGCGATATGCCTCACCTCGTGTATAGAAATTATAGTTTTAGAATTTAATTTAATAGTTTTAATTCGACATTATATCATTATTATAATATTTCAAATTACAATACGTCTAAGCATTAGTGCACAGCCGTTGCGGTACGCGAACCTTGAACTAGACCTCGTAAAATAATAACGGTGACGGATTTCGAACGATCGATCAACAGATATAATCGCGTCATATCGTACGTATAAATCGTAATCGGCTGCAAGTCGTTACGCGATAATGTTCCTATAGAGTATAATATATTAATAAATATTGCTACGGTGGAAAAAAAAATAAAATGCAACATAGGACCGTTGTACCTAGACCCGCCTATCCACCTATTATACCTGTATTAATCGTGCTTTTGCTTTATTTGTAAACGAACACATATGGTGCCCACTCCCCGTTCCCCACGCGCAACACACAGCCGGTGGAAATCCGATTCCGACGACGATCAATCGTCCACCGCCGCCGCTATGTACAGCGACAGAACTTAAAACTTTCGACAATCGTTTTATAATTACTGTTCTTAAATTACATAAATGTCAGTAACTTGGAACTAATGCTGCAGGAGACGCTCAGAAATCCATCCACTGACAATATTACTGTCTTACAACATAATAATAAACGACGACCTAACAATGATTTGGAGGAAAGAGGGGGGGGGGGCTACCGTATGATATCAAATTAATAAAAACTAATAGTAATATTACATCGTGTGCTTACCTGTCCGAAGAAGAAGTTCCACACGATCAGCAAGTACCGTTTGAGCACGTCAACGAACATGATTCGCGCGGCGTGTGAACCGGTCTCTGCGAAATCTGGAAATACGGAGCCACAGAGGTACTGGGACGATCACTGTCGCCGTACCGTATGATAATTGATAATAGTAACTTCAGCAATCGGTGTTGCGCGCGCGCGCATTCGCACTCGTCTCTAAATACTTATGGACGTTAACGCGTTTATACCCGGTAACTGGTAAGCAGTAACGGGAGCGTCGGTAAAACGCACTGTACACCGGCTGTAACTACGCGATGCACTGACGGTGTTACGACGGCGGCAGACACGCACTAGACAATGAAATTCCCCTTTGGCGGTCTGACAGACGACGCGACGACAATAATTGATTATTATTATTATTAATTTATTATCTTACGATCGTAACTCTCGTTTTCCCGTCGACGTTTATTATACAATAACGAGAATGATTTGAATTTCGCACTGTATCTAAATGCAATGGGTAATGATAAATTAAACGCATAAAAAAAAAAAAACACCAACAACACGGACGACGCGTAACGCACTGCACCGGCTGCGATAGCAATGCTCTGCGGACGAACAAAAATGCAACAGGGGGGACGGTGACTGCCGCAGCGGCGACGACCGGAATACCGCGAGGCGGGAGACGAGATGAAAAAAAATTTAAGAAACATTCGTTCGGAAGATGACGTCAAAATATCTCTGCTACAGGACTGCTATTAATAAATACACACAGACTTTACATGTGATTGTGTGAATGTAAAATATACGTCTCGACTAACGCCACCACTATATTGTCGTCATTGCAGTAGTACAGTATGGCGCGGAGGTGACAATCGTTTGGGCGTGTATAAATTGATGGATAATTATTCTTTATTGTCCATTGGGAAATCGTAATTTTGTTAAATAAAAGTCCCGTTTGAAACAGCGGTTCGGAAACGCACCATAAAATGATATGTAGTCCGAACTTTAATAATATTACCTACACTGAAGACTGAACTAGGTACACGAAAATACGGAATCCTATTTTTCAGAAACTATTATTTTCTTGAAAAAATATTTCGTTGGAAATTTACATATTATTGAGTTACGGTATACGATTCTGCGCAAATATTTTTTCGATCATATAATATATGAGCTACTAAAATACTATTCCGAAAAATACGACTCCAAAATAATATTTGCAAATGGTTTAAATTCAAAACACATGCGTTTTCGAAACGAAATACGTCTTCGGGTAAAATATTTTTTTAACAAAATGTATTTCCGAAAAAATACAGTTCTAGAATCCAGATAAAAACAGTTCAGAAAAAATGTTTTCCGAACTTTTAAGTTGCAACCAATTATTTTCCGACAAAATATTACCATCCGATCATTCTTTTCTCGAATTGATTTTTTTTTCAACTAGAACTGCATTTGTTGCATACGACATGACATATACCTATAATATCATATTAACATCAAAATATCGCGCCAATATGTCAATTTCTGTATGGTGTTATAACAATATTGGTCGTATTATATTATAACCTGCAGTAGACTTCCTGTAGTCCATGGGGATTTAATTTTTTTTTTCATTTTTTTCCCCTACTCACTTATATGTCTTATAAAAAAATCAATAAATTATACTAATAGAATTTCATAACCACGAAGTTTTTATGAAAAAATCTAAGACAAATCGACAAACTACGACACGCTAACATCGTTTCAGCACCATAATTTTACCAGAAAGTTCTTTGTTATAATTTTAAATTAGATTACGTTTATCTGATTACTTTATTTCGTTTTTTGTATTAACAATTATATTACTGTAATAGCTGGGTATTTAGAATTTATTTCACAAAGATATAACACTATTCGAGCCTATTAGTTCCAAATGATTTTTTCCAGCTAATAAAAAATAAACTAATTTTGTAACCTCGTAAATCTTTACCATAAATTTTATACCTAGTCATAATGTATTATTTTATAATTTATTCCTCAAAAGTCAAAACTATGTTACCTTTATTCGTATTAAAACTTTATAACAAACTTGGAAGTAACGATATTTTTATATTTCTTAAAATATGTTTAATCATATCAAAGAAAATCCATAATTTTAAATAAAAATGCATCTATAATATATTATATTATATATTTACAATGTAAATGCTCTACTGGATACGGTTACCTATACACCGGTTATACCATCCATAATATTAACTCTGTATATGCATAATATAAGAGTGCCAGTGTTTGATCGCCGTCCTTTGAGCAAATATTTGAATTTTCTGAGAAACGACAGACGACTTAATCTATATTATATTGAACCGCAGTCGTTCCCAAAATTCTCAAGAGGACATTCGTGCGTTAGTATAGGTAGGTTTGCCTCTACACCTATATATTAAAGTACCACTACAACTCTGAGATTAATTAACTAAAATTGCTTTTAGCGTAATTAAATAATAATCGATTAAAATAATGTTATTTTATAATATTATGCGCTCATAAAAATTATTAAGAAAAACCGACTTTTAAACATAACAACGATGTTGCGTACTTATAATATAACACATAAATCTCAAAAATATTTTAGCGTCTGAGCTATTTTTTTGCAGATTGTGAACCCTAGTTTTCATCAGGAAGGTTATATTTTTTTACGAGAGTGAAATGGTTTAAGGTGTAAAAAATATATTTTTATGAATTAGATATTAATGAGAATAAGTAGTAAGTGGGTCCCTGGGGTGGCCTCCGCTGCCACTACTAGACCCTTCGCCGTTTCCATCTTGCTACCTGAACCTCTACTACCATTACCACCACCAATGGCCTGCAATCACCGTCGCCACCGCCACCTAACCATCACCCGTATTGCTACTATCGTCTTACCACAAGAGCAGCCACTGTCCTACTACCAGCTGCTATTAACATTATCTTGAATAGGCACAACTGAAGCACCATTACAACCCTTCTACTCATACCTTACCATAAATTCCACCAAGGTCGAGAGTTACAAACCCACCATTTAATATAAGTGATTTGAATACGTAGTTAGATTTTGAATTATCATGCAGTTTTTTTTCTTAAATCAATATCAAAAGATCAAAAAAGGCTTATCTGAACTTGGATCAGAAATTAAAGACAAAGAGCTTTTGAAAAAGATTAGAAAATTCTAAAAACTTATGAAGTGCAATATTTTGAAAAAATAATATAATTCATAGAGTACCTATATCAAACTATTTTTTAAATTAAACTAGTAACTTATCTATGCCTAATTAAAGTTAAGCTTTTCTAAATTCAAATAAATAAATCTAAAAAATACAATTATAATTTATAAGTAGGTACCTAATTTATATAAGTCATCTTCAACCCTAGTAATAACTGCTGATAGGTTTCGTGATGATTCACGTACTCGATAAACATTAGGTATTGAAACCTTAACTGTGATACTAATTTCTAGTGGATGCTCTTGTTTAAAATAGTCATCATTTTTTTATTATTTAGCTTAGCAATCAGCCATATATTAATATTATTACGATTTACTCGAGTAACTATCGTTGATTATCAATAATATTAATATAAAAATTAGATACTGATGTGTGGATAGATAACTGACAGAAAACCGTGTATTATTCTCAAATAAATATATAATTTACAACAACGTCCAACAGGAGTTGGGAATTGACGTGAATAATAAAATAATACTTATGTTTACATCAATAACTATTATGTATCACCACTTACGTAAATTACCGGACATTTACGTAAATTTGTATTGTACAAGGTAGTTTTCGTAATTAGCCGGGTTTTAACGTAAATATCATAATTTTCATCATTGTCCATAACATATATTATATTTGGAAAAACAATTCTTTTGATCTGTTATCTTGTTTGTTTCATTGATTGGTAATGAATTAATTATTGCTATTATTGGAGATGGCAGTAGTGTCAATAAATCATATGAATCAAAATACTTCTTAAAGTTAATAAATTATATTTAGAATTTAAATTAATAGTAAACTGTTTTTTTTACTTTTAAGCCTCTCATTTTAACTCCGGCTGCAGAGGGTCCAGCGTATCCATCAATCATTTGATAATAATAATAAAATACTATTTTTTTTTTTTTTTTATTATTATAATTTATAAAATTATTGTTTTATTTAGTTGTTTACATGTCTAAGGCATAAAACTCTGCGTAAATGGAGACAAAAAGAAATTTTTCGAACCGTAATATTTTTCAACTGCCGAATAGATTGAATATTATGTTAATATAGTGTAAATAATTAAAAAATATACATTCATACTTTTAATAAATTATTCAGTTTCTCCATCCAATTGTTTACTTGTTGTTCAGTTTCGAGTAATTTTATCTGGTTTATAAAACTTTGTATATTCTTCGTTGTATGCTTAGACATTAGTTCTATAAAAGTCCTTTGATTATCTTAACTACTTCTTCAAATTTTAAACATTTTTCAATATAAAATCAGCTTTAAAAGAATCATTGATCGTCATTTTTCTTGTTACAGTTTCAAAAATAGTCCACTTTAAATGTTCAAGTTCCATAAAATTCGATAAAATTCTACACCCCTCTTGAATTTTGGATTCAATTACTAGCATGGTATCTTCTCTATATACCATACTAAAGAAAGAAATAAATATACTTTCTAAAAATTTAAATCTATTATATTTTACTACATTATTGAGAATATGAGCTAAAATATGACCCATTAATGAATAAATACATTTCAAAAAGTCAAGGAAATATTTAAAAAACGCAAAGAAGTAATTATATGTATCTAAACATTTAATTTCTGTACAGGTTGCGATTTCGACGTGTAAAAACTTATGATTTACAAAGTCGATGGTGTTATTACTACAGTTAATGAGTTCTGTCAATGGTTTAGATGCAATATATATTTTGTATATACATTGACACAACTTGACACTATGATAAGAAAAACTGCGACTAAATCTTCATATGTAAGTAACATGAGTGTTTTGATGGGGTTAAAACTTTTTGATGAGGATTATGGAGAGGGAAATGTGGAAGGGTTGTAATGACGCTTTAGTGACGCCTATACAAGATAACGCTAAAAGTTGTCAGTAGTAGAGCGGTGGCAGCTGTTGTGGTAAGATGATGGCATCTATGTCAAAACGGTGGTAGCTTTAATGCAAGGACGGTACTGGAGAGAACAAATGATGGCTGTGATGGATGGTCTGGTAGCGGTGGCAGTGGAGGCCACTCCAGGGACTTACTTACTACTAGAATATAATGAGAAATTAAAAATGTTTATAATTTATATCTACAAGTGGTAAAACATCTTAATCCATTTATGAATATTATAGATCATATTATATTATTGTATTATTTTTTGATAAAAGTTATAAAAATGAAAAATATCTTTATAATGACGATTTGAAAATATTGTAACTATGAATTAACAATTACAAAAATCATGGAAAAAAAATAAAGGATAACTGTGTTTTAATAATCAAGATACCGCGTTAGACACGCAATACGTGAAAACAGTTACCTTAGTAACCTAACGGCTCCCTATTATTTTGAAAAATAAATTTATTTAGTCGAGCAAATTATAAATTACATTTTAAT